CTGTTTGTTATATTATCTGTTGTGTTTCATCAAATGCTTCTGTATGATACTCGATCTTCACTAATGATTGATTTGTTCCTGTCAAATCAGAACATGAAAACTCGATTAAACATTCAATTCTTTGTGAACTGTGTACGCCCGTACTTTAAGTCAGTTAGGTAGAGTATATTTATTGTACCCCGACCTATGGAAAACTAGGGTCGCATAGTAGTTCTTTAACCATCTAGGTTGAAGTACACTCTTCAACAAATGAAACCCTTAGGCTAATTTCAAAACGATTTACTATGTTCAATTAAAATTGCATATTTCATTTAATTTGATTGTAATAAGGATGGAAATTAGCACGGCGATAGCCGCATGTTATGTAGACATAATTGCAATACTGACTGTCCTGTCACCTGACACGTACGTCCACGAGAGGACGTTCCGATCAGTACTTGGTGTGACAACCGTGTGCTGTTTTCACTGTTCTTCATTTCCTTGGCACTGACGGAATAAGTCTACAGTCTGTGGAATTCTCCTCCATTCTTCCTACAACGCGTTGGCGTTTGTTGACGTTGATGTACACGCCTCTCATCTTTCACACCACAGATGCTCTATCGAGTTCAGATCTGGGCCCACTTGCACAGAACAATCTTAGTTACAATCGATCTTAGGCGGCTACAATCAACTTTACAATCACCATACAATTGTCCTATTCCACTTGCACAAACCGATCTTAGCTACTTAAGATTGGTCCGGACCAATTGTAAGTTTCGATTGTAGCTTACAATGATCTTAGCCTACAATCGCTTTGTGCAAGTGGATGACGATTGTAACCGAAGCCTAAGATCGCGATCTTAAGGATTTACAATAATTGTAGCGCTAAGATCGCTTTGTGCAAGTGGACCCTGGAAGGCCATGGTAAGACATTGCCGTTTGAATTACGAAGGAAGTCAACAGTGACACGAGCTGTGTGTGGTGTAGCGTTATCATGTTGAAACAACTCCCTCTGTCGGCTGATAATCGAAAGAAAGTGAGGTTGATGAATTTGGTAGATGTACCGACTTGCTGTCAGATTCCCCTGAACCGCCACCAAGCCAGATCCCTGTGTGTAGGATATAGCTTCCATCACCATCACACTTCCGCCAACGAATCTGTCGACCTGACGAACGCAGTTCAGTGCAAAGCGTTCATTTCAACGTCGGTAGACACGCTTCCTTCCATGTCGGCGTTGGAGAAACATCGTGATTCATCACTGAACGAGACCATGCCTGTACAGTGTTGCTCCATCGCATACGTTGTCGTCGATGCAAACGTATCAATACAGGGACAAATACCGGTCTTCTGGATCTAATTCCCTACTCTCGCAAACGATTCCTGATTGTTTGGTCCGAAACCCTCCTCAAACCAGGGACATAAAGTCTAGGTTGGCAATTTCATGTCGATGACGTAGGTGAAAGACCCGGATGTAGTGATCTTGTGCAGGGGTGGTGACTCTTGGTCTGCCACTTCTCGGACGATCTTGGGTTGAATCGAGTCGGGTATACCGACCCCATGAAAGAGATATTGGTCTCTGGTGTACGTTCAAGTGACGTGCAACTGCAGACTGGGACTCTCCAGCTTCAGGGAGCGGTCTGGTAGCCAAGTCGTTAAAGCGTTCGCTCGTCACGCCGAAGACCCGGGTTCGATTCCCGACATGGGTACAATGTGTGAAGCCCATTTCTGGTGTCCCCCGCCGTGATATTGCTGGAATGTTGCTAAAAGAGGCGTAAAGCCAACACTCACTCACTCCAGCTTCAAGACGTCCTTTGGCGTTCATTGGCAGCATTCAACCTCGGCATTTTCCCACTTCCAAACATATCACAATATATTGACTGACGACTGACCTCTTATAGTCATGGTCACTAGACATGGTTGTCACAACTTGCACGTGCATTTTGCTTTTATTTCCTTTCAATGACATGTTCATGCATGTCTTTAAAAGTTACTGTATAAAGCAATAAAAGTTTAAAGTGTATTTGTGCTCTACACCACTTAACGAACACGTTACTAACATAGTTCAATAAAAAATATTGCATTTGTGTTGAATGTTTCATGAATAAACAAAGTCAACTTTCTCATTATCTCCTATGCGTTCCATTTTTTGAAGAGTCAAGGTCTTAAGACCATGCGGTTCTAGTGTTTTTTGAAGCAATGAAAACATCGGATAAGCCAGCTACAGTAAATAGAATAATGAACATTGATTACCAAAACCCTTGGTGATCATGAAAGAACAATGCCAGGAAAAGTCCAGGAAAAGAGCATTAGAAGCATCTCGTACGCATGAATTACATGAATCTAGTATGCATGTACGGTTGGCATGCATTACGTAGTCTAGTACGCATATATAGTATGCGTCCAGTTAGTAAGTTCTCTGCAACGTGTGACTATCTGTTGGTAATGTATTTGATTTCACGTTTCAGTCAACTTGAGCTTTCAAGTAACAGTGCATGGTACAAAGATTTAAGAGTCGAATAAAAAATGTATAGGTTCTCAGTGAAGACCACGTGTACTAACAACAGATAAATATCAACGTGATGAGTGTGCAAATATGACACGTACCGAGAGTAACCGCGTGACCGTCTCTTGTTTTCCGAACTTGCAGGAAAGCCGAAGCTCATGGTTTTGACATACCTTAAAAAATGACACAATAGTTAGCTAAAACTGATCTAACTCAAATTTTCTCAGAAGGCATATTTTAGACCCGTTATAAATAAACGATAACAATGTTGTGCAATATCAAGCTTCAAAATTCATCGTAGTTGCTGTCCTAGAAACATTTGTGCTATTCAATCTTGCTGGCATACTTTAAGTTTGTCTGTGGTTGTTGCCATTTCAAGCTGCTGACTTTATATAAGTGAGCTACAGTACCACTGCACTTTGTTTACCTTGTCTTTTGCACCTCACACTAAGCCATGGTAACGTTACCTGTTTCCGTTCTATAAAGAATTTTATATTGTCTGTATGAATAATCCTGAATGAATTGCACGTTTTAATTCACGTGGGTTGGGTGTTCATTTCAATAATCAGGTCAAATCAGCTCAGCGGTGCAAGCTTCAGTTAAAATTCAAGAAAATATGCAAACATAATAAAGAAAACTAGTATACAGATTCCTGGTGATACAAATTTGTACGACATTTGAGATGAAAACTAATCCAATTTTACTGTATGGTATATGGAGGTTGAAACATTTTGACATTTTCTTGATGTAAAAATTAGCACATCCAGTTCAACGGTTTATGGGCAATGTGGTAGATTTCCTTTATTGATCTATTTACACCTAAAATCAGTTAAGTACTGGTGAAATGCTTAAAATGACTTTATTCAGATACCTGGGGAAATATTATGTTGTTATATTACAGGAATGGAAGGGATAATTGGGTAACTGCTGAAAAAAAGTAACTGTGAATTCTTTTGTACACAGATAAAAGATCAATTAAAATATATGCAAATATGTACTTTGCAAACGTTTTTTTTTGGTGACTTTACCAAACAAATGTATATTTCCTGGAATGTTGAAATTTCAAATATATTCTAAGCAATATCTGATTGACATAACAAAGATAACTATCTGAAAGCATAGGGAAGATTATATGTTCCCCTCATGGTCTATTCATCGAGGTTGGGCGAATACTAAGATTCAGGTCAGAAAGATTTGTACGTTTCGTAATGTACAAACTTTTTTCTCCTTGTGTGTACACTGTATTCTGCTATCAGAAAAATATGTATTACATCCAAATATTATGATATTCCAGTATATGTTGAACAGTAAAGATACTTTCCCATGTAGGTACCACCTCTGTTCTATATGTACTATGCTAGACTCGTGGCTACAATAATGTTTGAAGGAAGACGGACTGATTAAATTGCCCGCAATGCTATTGACGTATAACACTCTTATCTATTCTCTTCACAGAATGGGTTCCATCGACGCCTGTCATTTGGGTTTGATATACACGGTAGCAACATTGTCCTTTGTGCAAACCGACCAGATTGCTTTGACTCGTCCGTGTACCTTACGGAAGGATTCACTGGAATACATCGCTGACTGCCGTAACAGGAACCTCTCCGACATACCCCATGGCCTGCCAGTGAACATCAACACCTTACTTCTCAGAAACAACACCATCAACATAAAACACTTGTCTTCTGGCTTGTCCCGATTCTCTCATCTTTATCATCTTGATTTGTCCTTCAATCAACTGCGTGGTTTGAAACCAAGAACATTCATTCATCTTACGAGCCTTGAAACTCTAAACTTAGAAGGCAATCACCTCCCACTTAACAGTTCGGCATATCCTAATGCCACGTTTCAGGGTCTTCATAACCTTCAGTCCTTGAAGATAAACAACAACAGCAATGATGAGGATCAATTCTCAGATATGGAATATCCAGGACATGTACTAGCAGAGTTATCTGCCCTTGAAGAATTGTTTATTGATGGTATACCTTCAGGTGTATTTGATGAGGAGTTTCAATCTCTCAGGAAGCTTAGAAATTTAACATTATCTGGGAGGATAGGTTTATGTAATATTCCAAACATAAGTTCCGACTACTTTAGAAATCTGAAGCATCTGACTTATCTGAACATGACGAGTTGTTCTATATCACACATTGGAAGACGGGCTTTAACTAATTTAGATAACATCACAATTCTTGACATGTCCGGGAATACACGATCGGATACGAGGCATGTTGAAAATATTTTGTGTGGTCTCCAACATTCCTCGGTTGAAATTTTGAAACTAAATGCCATGGTGAGTGAATATGCAACATGTATTGTTTTCACTAACTTAATGGCGCAGCATCTTCACAACACCAATTTAAGGGAACTGTATTTTAATGATAATTATATTGTTACCGCTGAAAAAGAAGTATTGTCCCTTCTTCCCAAAAGTCTAGAGGTACTTACCATTAGGAAAAGTAGACTTGTGTATGGCACTTTCTTTGAATATTTGAACCAACTGGAAAACGTGCGGATGATTGACCTAAGCGAAAGTATTGGCAGTTCTGTTCCCGTCATTCATGGATTATCATTTAGTCTTCCTCCTAAACTGGAGACTTTCTTCTGTGACGACAGCACATTTAGGGTTTGTTTTGTCAATGTCAACTTCACCTCAAACAATCTAAAGAAAATTAGTTACAGGAAAAACATCATTACCTTCTGGGCTGGTCCAATGTATGGCTGCAACCATTTAACTGAAATAGACCTGTCAGAAAACTTCTGCGATCGTATTGATGATGGTTGTCTGAAAGGTTTTTCTAGTCTCAAGATATTAAGAGCTAATAGTAACTACCTTGGAGCTTTCTTAGGAAAGGATAAAAAGGGACAGACGTTTGCTTATTCACCAACTCTCGAATTTTTAGATCTATCTTTGAACAGAATCCAGTTTTTACCAGTGAATGTGTTTCGAAACCTTGTCAGTCTGAAAACCTTGAACCTAAGTGAGAACAGTATCACAAACCTGAAGGTGAAGGTTAGTCATATGACCAATTTGACATCTTTGAATTTAAGTTTAAATCAAATTCCATCCCTTGATCACATGTTTATGTCTCAACTGGACATAATCAAAAGCTCTGCTTTAAAAGTTGATCTTTCAGCCAACCCGCTTATCTGTTCCTGTGAGACATTACCTTTTGTAAAATGGATGACACAGAGAAAGGACATGTTTGCAAGCCAACAACTGTACAAATGTTCCTCACAATCTGGATGGTTATACAACGAAAATGTGTTTGAGATTCTTTCACAACTTCAACAAAAGTGCACCTCTCATTTTGGCGTAGCGATGGGACTGTTTGTTTCTGTAACAAGTTTCCTCTGCATCTTGTGTGCTTCTATCCTCTACAGGTATCGATGGAAGTTGAGATACCTATATTACATAGCGCGGGGACGTTACCGAAATGTTGACCTGATTCAACACGGGAATGACAGGGAATATGAATATAATGCTTTTATCTCCTACGCTGACGAGGACCGTGACTTTGCTCTGCACATGTTCATCGAGAAGCTTGAAAGAGAAGGCAATCTTCAACTGTGTCTTCATCATCGTGATTTTATTCCAGGCGAGCCAATAGCTGCCAACATCCTGTCAGCCATTCAAAAAAGTAAATTTGTTGTCATCGTGCTTTCCCCTAACTTCCTGGACAGTTACTGGTGCAGATACGAGTTTGAGATGGCCCGGATGGAGGGTCTGTACACTGAGAGGAACATGGTTGTCCTGGTGAAGTACCAGGAGGTCCTGCCCAACCTTGTGCCCAGGGACTTGTTGTATATGATGCACACACAGACCTTCCTGGAATACCCACAGAACGTTGATGACCAGGACACGTTCTGGATTGCTCTGAAAGATGCCCTTGTAACACCTTGAGAAACATTTGGATATGCTATCAGAAGCTCTCATAGCATTGCAATATCCTCTGCTTCTTCTCTGGGAGTATCGTCCTATATTATATAATGTTTGTAACGTTTGGCAATGTTGCCACAAAAATCAAATCACGTTGTTCTGGGTAATTAGGCGTGAGATAATCAAACACAACAATGTCGTCGTTTGGATTCGAATTTCATTCGATGTGTTTCGAGGACAATAATTCGTTATTACATGGAGTTTGCTGTGCCTAATCACATATTGTACATAGGATGCAAACTATTCTAATGATTAAGTTTTATATCCACGTGTCAATTCATTTTCTGCTGCAATTCCTTTTCCATTGTATAAAACCTGCCTCTGTTTAATAAAGAGTGCCTATCAGCACCACTTTTCCGAATGGCCGGGTTGTGTGTTTTGAGAAAATAAGTTTTTTGAATGATCATTTTATGCTACAGCATAATAATAATTATATGTGAAATGAAACAAAAGTATGTAATTGTGATTCTGTAAATAAACGTGTCTGTCTGAAAATATGCTATGCTTGTACTCAGTGGTGAAGTGGATAGTGCGGCCATGTCACACCGAAAGACGTTCAAAGATGTAAGTTGTTATCTTGTCAGGCGATCAGCATTAAGGGGCTAAAACAAGGATCCGGACTGATCGGATCGGAGTCAGTATATTGTGTCTGAGTGGGGTATTCATGTTAAACCGCCTCCGTGGTCTAGTGGTAGAGCGTTTGCCCGGAGAGCGGAAGGTTGGGGGTTCGATCCCCGGCCGCGTCATACCAAAAGACGATACAAGATGGTACTTGTTGTAGCCCTGTCTGGCGCTCGGCATTAAGGGCCTCGGGACTGGTCGGCTCGGAGTAAGTATACTGTGTCTGAGTGGGGTATTTGTGTTAATCTGCGGCATGGTATCTCATTGGGCAAGCACTAAAAGTCACCATCAGTCCGGACTTGAACAAGCGGTGTATACACACACACACCGTCAAAGGCAGAGAATAATCAAATAATCACAGGGCGTAAAATACTTATGAAAATTATATGAATTGAAGGGGTAAGCATCTCCCGCTCTACAGGTAGCCCTCGGCACTCCGGAGTTGGAACTCGAATCACGGTTTGCTCCGATTATCTGTCGAGGTTTGCCAGCACCATAACCTTGCTCGTGACTTTTGGTAAACATCTGCATCATTTCGGGCTTCCCTCCCACATAAAGCTGACACGCCGTGATATAACTGGAACACTGTTTGAAGTTCAACCCATTTCGTTGTAATCTTGTGACTAAACTTGTCGCTATATGGCTGAACTAATGTCAGTGGGACGTAAAATATAACTTACTATGACTAAACTTTCAAGATTGCCGTTCAGATCGACATGCTCTCAAGGAGAATATACTTAATTTACATCTTTTCCTGAAACTGTTGAAATTTAGAAGAAATACAATACTTACTTCTGTAACATAATCATTCATTGTTTATCAGAACCATGCGCTTAATAAACAAACGACCTCCATGTACAGTCACAAAATTTTCGCTTGTGAATTAAGACTCTGAGGAAAAAGAGATCACTGATAATTATAGCACCTCATGACCTGTTGGCGTCTTATTTAGCATATAAAGATTAGGTGTGGAGTCACAGTGTAAAATACAGAAGTCTCTTGTCCGTATCAGTCTCCATAAATTTGGTTTGAAAAGGGATACTTTTTAAAAGAAATATTCACATACAGTCTTAAGTCCGAAAGATTTCCGGGATCAAATCCCCTATGATAAAGTTTATCAGTCAATCAGACTGCAGCAAACGTTCTAATTCCCACATATTCTAGAACATACTGAACACATGCTTTCTGCTCATAACGATGTCAAATCTATTGATGACAAATTGTATATTCTCTGAACAGATACACTCACGACGATGTTGCCTTCGATATAGTATCAGCCTTTAACTTTAAAAGACTTCAACTTGGATAAACAACTTAACTGAAATATCTATAATCTTGCTGGTTAATAAAGGAACCAATTCTTTAAAACCTCTTTTGTTACAAGTTCTTGAGAACATCCTTCACTCTCCACATCCTGTTACGATGTCTCACACGTTGTTACCGCTTCCTCATCACAGAGGATGAGTCACAGGTTAGTCACAGTTGTTTTAGGCATGAACTGTGTTTAAAGGCACCTGTTTGAATGAATGTATGGATGTTGTTTTTTGCCACATTCAGCAAGAATATTACAACTGCCTTAAATACGCCTGTCTAGGCCCAGACATTGTTTAATAACATGGACAACGAACAACGCCATCGAACAACGATGCCAAACAATCAGCCAGGGAACCATTGTGACCAACTGATCCTCATGTAAACTCGAGCATTACTTTAATATTGTGTGCTGGTGATCTGTTCTGGAATACTATGTGGGCATTGGTAGCTGTTTAAAAGAAATAACTCACACTAACACTCCAACCAGGATAAGTGTTGAACATCACCTGAAAGCAGAAGTGTTGCATTTTGTGGCATGGGTACATTTCTGGTGTCCCCCGTCGTGATATTGCTGTAATATTGCTAAAGGCGGCGTAAAACCATACTCACTCACTTACTCAAACTTTAAAATTTATGAGTGGTGGGGTTTAACCAGCATATAACTAGACGTGGTCTTGAGTACAGAGCACATGCCAGAACTCTTGCGAAGTTAAGACAAGTTGGTCACGGAGAGTAGTTGGATGGGTAACGGTATTTGACAAGCTTGACTCATGAGCATCATACCTCTACTGGAACACGTGTTACATGTGGTACGAAACTTTGTTAGAAATATGACTCTGTTCAATCAGGAGTGAATGGGTACCAGGTGGGTGAGATGGTAATGTGACTGTTAACCTAGCAGGTTTAGGGCAGCGGGGGTTGTATATTCCCTGGGGAGCTGAGAATATATGTAATTTGTCTATAGATATCTATAGATATAGATATATATATATCTATATATCTATATATATATATATATATATATATCTATAGATATCTATAGATATATATATAGATGTATATATATAGTGTAAATGTAGTCAAATGTGTCAATAGTGTACATATGGAATTTATGCAATAGTGTGTAAACATGTAATTTGTGTCAATAGTGTACATATGGAATTTGTGTCAATAGTGAATATGTGTAATTTGTGTCAATAGTGTATATAGATAGTTTTGGTTACATGACATGCTCATCTGGATAAATGCTCAAGTCATGTTGTGTTTGTTCAGTCGTCGTCTCTACATATTTTCTTTTCTAAAACAATCGGAGCAGTGGCATTTGACTTTGACCATACATGGGCAATAAGGTGTGGTCTAAATGTGACTACATCGGGCTGACCCCCAGCCACGATCAAGGAAGTTAGAGTGCGTAACTAACCATGTCATATCTAGTGTTGATAGCCTCGTTTCTATTTCTTCCCCACAGATATCTACACGTATAACATGAATCTAGTATGCATGAATTACATGAATTTAGTGTGCATGTATAACATGAATCTAGTATGCATGAATTACATGTATATGGTGTGCATGTATAACATGAATCTAGTATGCATGAATTACATGAATTAAGTGTGCATGTATAACATGTTTCGTTTCTGAAACAACTGGAACACATGTTATCACCAATGTTGCCACCCGTTATTCGATATACCACATTTGCCTAACACCCAGTCAAGATCAAGGAAGTGAGAGTACGCGACCCACATAAGCCATGACATATCTAGTGTTCACAGCCTCGTTTCTATTTCTTCCCCACAGATATCTATACGTCTTCTGCGCACCATGGTGTAACTTTCTCCGGCTGAGCCTAGTACTCTACGAGTTTCAGCATTATTCAAGAAACACCACGGCGGGAACAAAACGGGCTTCATTGTACATATGTGGGGAATCAAACAAGGCGGTTTCGGACATTCTAAACAAGAGGCTACACGAAACTTCCACGCAGAGTGTCAAGGTCAGTCTCTTACGTTACCGTTCTATGTTGTGTTTTCAGGATTTCATTGCCTTGTATGATATTCGATCATTACTAATGATTAATCTGTTCCTGTGATCTAATTAGAACATCAAAACTCGATTAGACATTCATTTGCGAAATGTACACTTCATGTAAGTAAGCCAGAGTATATTTATTGTAACCACGAGCTATGGAAAACTGGGAAGAATCTAGTATGCGTGTCAGACATGAATACAGTTTCCATGCATGACGTGAATCTAGTATGCATGTATGACATGAATCTTGTGTGCATGTATGACATCAATCTAGTATGCATGTATGACATGAATCTAGTGTACATGTATGACATGTATCTAGTGTACATGTATGACATGAATCTAGCATGCATGTATGACATTAATCTAGTATGCATGTATGACATGAATCTAGTGTGCATGTATGACATGAATCTAGTATGCATGCATGATATGAATCTAGTATGTATGTATGACATGAATCTTCTGTGCATGTATGACATGAATCTAGTTTGCATATATTACATGAATCTAGTGTGCATGTATGACATGAATCTAGTGTACATGTATGACATGAATCTAGTGTGCATGTATGACATGAATCTAGTGTGCACGTGTGACATTAATCTAGTATGCATGTATGACATGAATCTAGTATGCATGTATGACATGTATCTATTATGCATGTATGACATGAATCTAGTATGCATGCATGACATTAATCTAGTGTGCATGAATGACATTAATATATTACATGAATCTAGTGTACATGTATGACATGAATCTAGTGTGCATGTATGACATGAATCTAGTGTGCACGTGTGACATTAATCTAGTATGCATGTATGACATGAATCTAGTGTACATGTATGACATGTATCTATTATGCATGCATGACATGAATCTAGTATGCATGCATGACATTAATCCAGTGTGCATGAATGACATTAATATATTACATGAATCTAGTGTGCATATATTACATGTATCTAGTGTGCATGTATGACATGAATCTAGTGTACATGTATGACATGAATCTAGTGTGCATGTATGACATGAATCTAGTGTGCATGTATGACATGAATCTAGTGTGCATGTATGACATTAATCTAGTATGCATGTATGACATGAATCTAGTATGCATGTAAGACATGAATATAGTATGCATGTATGATATTAATCTAGTATGCATGTATGACATGAATCTAGTGTGCATGTATGACATGTATCTAGCATGCATGTATGACATTAATCTAGTAGGCATGTATGACATGAATCTAGTTTGCATATATTACATGAATCTAGTATGCCTGTATGATATTAATCTAGTATACATGTATGACATGAAGGTAGCATGCATGTATGACATGAAGCTAGTATGCATGTATGACATGAATCTATTATGCATGTATGACATGAATCTAGTATGCATGCATGACATTAATCTAGTGTGCATGAATGACATTAATCCAGTGTGCATATATTACATGAATCTAGTGTGCATATATTACATGTATCTAGTGTGCATGTATGACATGAATCTAGTGTACATGTATGACATGAATCTAGTATGCATGTAAGACTTGAATATAGTATGCATGTATGATATTAATCTAGTATGCATGTATGACATGAATCTAGTGTGCATGTATGACATGTATCTAGCATGCATGTATGACATTAAACTAGTAGGCATGTATGACATGAAGCTAGTGTGCATGTATGACATGAATCTAGTGTACATGTATGCCATGAATCTGGTATGTATATATGACATAACTCAAGTGTGCATGTATGACATAAATCTAGTGTGCATGTATGACATGAATCTAGTATGCATGTATGACATAAATCTAGTGTGCATGTATGACATGAATCTAGTGTGCATGTATGACTTGAATCTAGTGTGCATGTATGACATAAATCTAGTGTGCATGTGTGACATAAATCTAGTGTGCATACATGACATGAATCTAGTGTGCATGTATGACATGAATCTAGTGTGCATGTATGACTTGAATCTAGTGTGCATGTATGACGTGAAGGGAGCCTGAGTATAATCGAGACTTGCATCAGTCAGTGCTTTTCCAATACAGAAAGTGCTTGGCGGAAGGGAAAATAAAACAGAACAGGGACTTTGAAGTGTCCATTGTAACCGCGTGGTTGTTACATCCGTCTCTTCTTTTCCTAACTTGCAGGAAAGCTAAAGCTTATGGTTGTCATTTATGTAACTTCAAATGACACAATAGATTGTTAAAACATCAAATTTACTCAGATGGCATATTTTAGAGCTGTTGGAAATAATCGACAAAAAATGTGCAATATCAAGCTTCAACATTCAACTTAGTTCCTCACTAAAAATCATTACAACAATGTGTAAGTCTTGTAATATGCAAACTATCGAAGACTTATACTACTTTCTTCTTGTATGTGCACTATATTCCGCTATCAGAAAGAAATATGCTTTATATCCAAATCCAAATGATCCAAAGATTATGATATTTTAGTATATGTTAAACAGTAAAATTAAGTTGTAATGAAAAACTGTCCTATATATATATTAACCACGCACCGTTGTATAGACACAAAGTTGTATGTAGAGTTTACAATGTCGGTACCACCTCCGTTCTATATGTACTATTTTGGACGTAAAGTGTTTGAATGAAGATTGATTGGTTGAATTATTATTGATGTACTCTCTCATCTATTTTCTTTACAGTATGGGTTCCATCGACGCCTGTCATCTGGGTTTGATGTACACGATAGCAACATTGTCCTTTGTGCAAACCGACCAGATTGCTTTGACTCGTCCGTGTACCTTACGGAAGGATTCACAAGAATACATCGCTGACTGCCGTAACAGGAACCTCTCCGACATACCCTATGGCCTGCCAGTGAACATCAACACCTTACTTCTCAGAAACAACACCATCAACATAAAACACTTGTCTTCTGGCTTGTCTCGATTCTCTCATCTTTACCATCTTGATTTGTCCTTCAATCAACTGCGTGGTTTGAAACCAAGAACATTCATTCATCTTACACGCCTTGAAACTCTAAACTTAGAAGGCAATCACCTCCCTCTTAACAGTTCGGCATATCCAAATGCCACGTTTCAGGGTCTTCGTAACCTTCAGTCCTTGAAGATAAACAACAACAGCAATGATGAGGATCACTTCTCACATATGGAATATCCAGGACATGTACTAGCAGAGTTATCTGCCCTTGAAGAATTGTTTATTGATGGTATACCTTCAGGTGTATTTGATGAGGAGTTTCAATCTCTCAGGAAGCTTAGAAATTTAACGTTATCTGGGAGGATAGGTACATGTAATATTGGAAACATAAGTTCCGACTACTTTAGAAATCTGAAGCATCTGACTTATCTGAACATGACGAGTTGTTCTATATCGCACATTGGAAGACAGGCTTTAACTAAATTAGATAACATCACAATTCTTGACATGTCCGGCAATTCACAACAGGATACGAGGCATGTTGAAAATATTTTGTGTGGTCTCCAAAATTCCTCGGTTGAAATTTTGAAACTGAATGCCATGGTGAGTGAATATGCAACATGTATTGTTTTCACTAAATTAATGGCGGAATATCTTAACAGCACCAATTTAAGGGAGCTGTATTTTAATGATAATTATATTGTTACTGCTGAAGAAGAAGTATTTTCCCTTCTTCCCAAAAGTCTAGAGGTACTTTCCATTAGGAAAAGTAGACTTGTGTATGGCACTTTCTTTAACTATCTGAACAAACTGGAAAACGTGCGGATGATTGACCTAAGCGAAAGTATTGGCAGTTCTGTTCCCGTCATTCATGGATTATCATTTAGTCTTCCTCCTAAACTGGAGACTTTCTTCTGTGACGACAGCACATTTAGGGTATGTTTTGTCAATGTTAACTTCACCTCCAACAATCTAAAAAAAATAAGTTATAGAAAAAACGTCATAACCTACTGGGCTGGTCCAATGTATGGTTTAAACCATTTAACTGAAATTGACCTATCAGAAAACTTCTGCGATCGTATTGATGATGGTTGTCTGAAAGGCTTTACTAGTCTAAAGATATTGAGAGCTAATAGTAACTACCTTGGGGACTTTTTAGAAAACGACCAAAAAGGGCAGGCGTTTGCTTATTCAGCAAGTCTAGAATTTTTAGATCTATCTTTGAACAGAATCCAGTTTTTACCAGTGAATGTGTTTCGAAACCTTGTCAGTCTGAAAACCTTGAACCTAAGTGAGAACAGTATCACAAACCTGAAGGTGAAGGTTAGTCATATGACCAATTTGACATCTTTGAATTTAAGTTTTAATCAAATTCCATCCCTTGATCACATGTTTATGTCTCAACTGGACATAATCAAAAGCTCTGTTTTAAAAGTTGATCTTTCAGCCAACCCACTTATCTGTTCCTGTGAGACATTACCTTTTGTAAAATGGATGACACAGAGAAAGGACATGTTTGCAACCCAACAACTGTACAAATGTTCCTCACAATCTGGATGGTTATACAATGAAAATGTGTTTGAGATTCTTTCACAACTTCAACAAAAGTGCACCTCTCATTTTGGCCTAGCGATGGGACTGTTTGTTTCTGTAACAAGTTTCCTCTGCATCTTGTGTGCTTCTATCCTCTACAGGTATCGATGGAAGTTGAGATACCTGTATTACATAGCGCGGGGACGTTACCGAAATGTTGACCTGATTCAACACGAGAATGACAGGGAATATGAATATAATGCCTTTATCTCCTACGCTAACGAGGACCGTGACTTTGCTCTACACATGTTCATCGAGAAGCTTGAAAGAGAAGGCAATCTTCAACTGTGTCTTCATCATCGTGATTTCATTCCAGGCGAGCCAATAGCTGCCAACATCCTGTCAGCCATTCAAAAAAGTAAATTTGTTATCATCGTGCTCTCCCCTAACTTCCTGGACAGTTACTGGTGCAGATACGAGTTTGAAATGGCCCGGATGGAGGGTCTGTACACTGAGAGGAACATGGTTGTCCTGGTGAAGTACCAGGAGGTCCTGCCCAACCTTGTGCCCAGGGACTTGTTGTATATGATGCACACACATACCTTCCTGGAATACCCACAGAACGTAGATGACCAGGACACGTTCTGGATTGCTCTGAAAGATGCCCTTGTAACACCTTGAGAAACATTTGGATATACTATCAGAAGCTCTCATAGCATTGCAATATCCTCTGCTTCTTCTCTGGGAGTATCGTCCTATATTATATAATGTTTGTAACGTTTGGCAATATTGCCACAAAAATCAAATCACGTTGTTCTGGGTAATTAGGCATGAGATAATCAAACACAACAATGTCGTCGTTTGGATTCGAATTTCATTCGATGTGTTTCGAGGACAATAATTCGTTATTACATGGAGTTTGCTGTGCCTAATCACATATTGTACATAGGATGCAAACTATTCTAATGATTAAGTTTTATATCCACGTGTCAATTCATTTTCTGCTGCAATTCCTTTTCCATTGTATAAAACCTGCCTCTGTTTAATAAAGAGTGCCTATCAGCACCACTTTTCCGAATGACCGGGTTGTGTGTTTTGAGAAAAGTATGTAATTGTGATTCTGTAAATAAACGTGTCTGTCTGAAAATATGCTATGCTTGTACTCAGTGGTGAAGTGGATAGTGCGGCCATGTCACACCGAAAGACGTTCAAAGATGTAAGTTGTTATCTTGTCAGGCGATCAGCATTAAGGGGCTAAAACAAGGCTCCGGACTGATCGGCTCGGAGTCAGTATATTGTGTCTGAGTGGGGTATTCATGTTAAACCGCCTCCGTGGTCTAGTGGTAGAGCGTTTGCCCGGAGAGCGGAAGGTTGGGGGTTCGATCCCCGGCCGCGTCATACCAAAAGACGATACAAGATGGTACTTGTTGTAGCCCTGTCTGGCGCTCGGCATTAAGGGCCTCGGGACTGGTCGGCTCGGAGTCAGTATACTGTGTCTGAGTGGGGTATTCATGTTAAACTGCGGCATGGTATCTCATTGGGCAATCACTAAAAGTCGCCATCAGTCCGGACTTGAACAAGCGGTGTACACACACACACACACCGTCAAAGGCAGAGAATAATCAAATAATCACAGGGCGTAAAATGCTTATGAAAATTATATGAATTGAAGGGTAAGCATCTCCCGCTCTACAGGTAGCCCTCGGCACTCCGGAGTTGGAATTCGAATCACGGTTTGCTCCGATTATCTGTCGAGGTTTGCAAGCACCATAACCTTGCTCGTGACCTTTGGTAAACATCAGCATCATTTCGGGCTTCCCTCCCACATAAAGCTGACACGCCGTGATATAACTGGAACACTGTTTGAAATTCAACCCATTTCGTTGTAATCTTGTGACTAAACTTGTCGCTATATGGCTGAACTAATGTCAGTGGGACGTAAAATATAACTTACTATGACTAAACTTTCAAGATTGCCGTTCAGATCGACATGCTCTCAAGGAAAATATACGTAATTTACATCTTTTCCTGAAACTGTTAAAATTTAGAAGAAATACAATACTTACTTCTGTAACATAATCATTCCTTGTTTATCAGAACCATGCGCTTAATAAACAAACGACCTCCATGTACAGTCACAAAATTTTCGCTTGTGAATTAAGACTCTGAGGAAAAAGAGATCACTGATAATTATAGCACCTCATGATCTGTTGGCGTCTTATTTAGCATATAAAGATTAGGTGTGGAGTAACAGTGTAAAATACAGAAGTCTCTTGTCCGTATCACTCTCCATGACGAGTGTGGTGTTTTTTAATTTTGGTTTGAAAAGGGATACTTTTTAAAAGAAATATTAACATACAGTCTTAAGTCCGAAAGATTTCCGGGATCAAATCCCCTATGATAAAGTTTATCAGTCAATCAGACTGCAGCAAACGTTCTAATTCCCACATATTCTAGAACATACTGAACACATGCTTTCTGCTCATGACGATGTCAAATCTTTTGATGACAAATTGTATATTCTCTGAACAGATACACCCACGACGATGTTGCCTCCGATATATTATCAGCCTTTAACTTTAAAAGACTTCAACTTGGATAAACAACTTAACTGAAATATCTATAATCTTGCTGGTTAATAAAGGAACCAATTCTTTAAAACCTCTTTTGTTACAAGTTCTTGAGAACATCCTTCACTCTCCACATCCTGTTACGATGTCTCACACGTTGTTACCGCTTCCTCATCACAGAGGATGAGTCACAGGTTGGTCACAGTTGTTTTAGGCATGAACTGTGTTTAAAGGCACCTGTTTGAATGAATGTATGGATGATGTTTTTTGCCACATTCAGCAAGAATATTACAGCTGCCTTCAATACGCCTGTCTAGGTCCAGTCATTGTATAATAACATAGACAACGAACAACGCCATCGAACAACGATGCCAAACAATCAGCCAGGGAACCATTGTGACCAACCGATCCTCATGTAAACTCGAGCATTACTTCAAGCATCGTGTGCTGGTGATCTGTTCTGGAATACTGTGGGCATTGGTATTTGTTTAAAAGAAATAACTCACACTAACACTCGAACCAGGATAAGAGTTGAACATCACCTGAATGCAGAAGTGTTGCATTTTGTGGCATGGGTACATTTCTGGTGTCCCCCTTCGTGATATTGCTGTAATATTGCTAAAGGCGGCGTAAAACCATACTCACTCACTTACTCAAATTTTAAAACATATGAGTGGTGGGGTTTAACCAGCATATAACTAGACGTGGTCTTGAGTACAGAGCACATGCCAGAACTCTTGCGAAGTTAAGACAAGTTGGTCACGGAGAGTAGTTGGATGGGTGACGGTATTTGACAGGCTTGACTCATGAGCGTCATACCTCTACTGGAACACGTGTTACATGTGGTGTCTCCTTAGGCACGAAACTTTGTTAGAAATATGATTCTGTTCAACCAGCAGTGAATGGGTACCAGGTGGGTGAGATGGTAATGTGACTGTTAACCTTCCAGGTGTAAGGCAGCGTGGGTTGTATACTCCCTGGGGAGCTGAGAATGAAATTCGAGTGCACAATTATTCTTTTAGCATGCTTCAGGGTGTTGATTTGACGCCTTATGAATATACACATTATTGTGTATAGACTAGAAAACTTTAACAAAATCTCCTATCAAATGAATTATTGATTCAAGTCCCGAAGTAATATGAATTGCGATCTTGAGTCAACAGTGTATGTATGTAATTTGTGTCAGTTGTGTACATATGTAATTTGTGTTAATAGTTTATATTACTATGTAAATTTGTGGCAAAAATGTATACATGTAATTTGTGTCAATATTGTACATATGTAATTTGTGTCAATAGTGAATGTATGTAATTTGTGTGAATAGTGAATACATGTAATTATACATACAAACATACATACATACATACATACATACATACATACATACATACATACATACATACATACATACATACATACATACATACATTTAATTTGTGTCAATAGTGTATATAGATAGTTTTGGTTACATGACATGCTCATCTGGCTAAATGCTCAAGTCATGTTGTGTTTGTTCGACATCAGTCGTCGTCTCTACATATTTTCTTTTCTAAAACAATCGGAACAGTGACATTTGACTTTGACTATACATGGGCAATAAGGTGTGGTCTAAATGTGACTACATCGGGCTGACCCCCAGCCACGATCAAGGAAGTGAGAGTACGTAACTCACAGAAGCCATGTCATATCTAGTGTTCACAGCCTCGATTCTATTTCTTCCCCACAGATATCTATACGTCTTCTGCGCATCATGGTGTAACTTTCTCCGGCTGAGCCTAGTACTCTACGAGTTTTAGCATTATTCAAGAAACACCACGGCGGGAACAAAACGGGCTTCATTGTACACATGTGGGTAATCAAACAAGGCGGTTACGGACATTCTAAACAAGAGGCTACCCGAAAGTTCCACGCAGAATGTCAAGGTCAGTCTCTTACGTTACCGTTCTCTGTTGTGTTTTCAGGATTTCATTGCCTTGTATGATACTCGATCTTCACTAATGATTAATCTGTTCCTGTGACCTAATTAGAACATCAAAACTCGATTCGATTCGATTCGATTCGACATTCATTTGCGTAATGTACACTTTATGTCAGTAAGCCAGAGTATATTTATTGTACCCACGAGCTATGGAAAACTGGGAAGAATCTAGTATGCGTGTCAGACATGAATACAGTTTCCATACATGACGTGCATCTCGTATGCATGTATTACATGAATCTAGTTTGTTGTTTAACGCCGCAGTCAGCAATATTCCAGCTATATGACGGCGGTCTGGGAATAATTGAGTCTGGACCAGACAATCCAGTGATTGACATCATGATCCACGCAATTGGGATATGATGACATGTTTCAATCAAGTCAGCGAGCCTGATCCCCCGATACCGTTAGTCCCCTCTTACGGCAAACATTTTACGGCAAGCATAGGTTGCTGAAGACCAATTCTACCACGGATCTTCACGGGTCACATGAATATTGTATGCATGTCAGACATAAATACAGTTTCCCTGTATGACGTGAATCTAGTATGCAAGTATTACATGAATCTTGTAAGCATGTATCACATGACTGCAGTTTGCATGTATGACATGAATCTAGGGTGTATGTATGACATGAATCTAGTATGCATAAATGACATTAATCTAGTATGCATGTATGACGTTAGTCTAGTATGCATGTAAGACATGAATCTAGTGTGCATGTATGACATGGATCTAGTATGCATGTATGATATGAATCTAGTGTGCTTGTATGACATGTATCTAGTGTGCATGTATGACATGAATCTAGTGCGCATGTATGCCATGAATTTGGTATGTATGTATGACATAAATTTAGTGTGCATGTATGACATGAATCTAGTGTGCATGTATGACATGAATCTAGTGTGCATGTATGACATGAATCTAGTGTGCATGTATGACGTGAATCTAGTATGCATGTATGACATGAATCTAGTGTGCATGTATGGTATGAATCTAGTGTACATGTTTGCCATGAATCTTGTATGTATGTATGACATAAATCTAGTGTGCATGTATGACGTGAATCTAGTGTGCATGTATGACGTGAATCTAGTGTGCATGTATGACTTCAATCTAGTGTGCATGTATGACGTGAATCTAGTATGCATGTATGACTTGAATCTAGTATGCATGTATGACGTGAAGGGAGCGTGGGTAAAATCGAGACTTGCATCATTCAGTGCTTTTCCAATACAGAAAGTGCTTTGCGTAAGGGAAAATAAAACAGAAAAGGGACTGTGAAGTATCCATTGTAACCGCGTGGTTGTTACATCCGTCTCTTCTTTTCCTAACTTGCAGGAAAGCTAAAGCTTATGGTTGTCATGTATGTAACTTCAAATGACACAATAGATTGTTAAAAAATCAAATTATTCAGATGGCATATTTTAGAGCTGTTGGAAATAATCGACAAAAATGTGCAATATCAAGCCTCAACATTCAACTTAGTTCCTGACTAAAAACCATTACAACAATTCAATCTCGTTTCCGTGTAAGTCTTGTAATATGCAAACTATCGAAGACTTATACTACTTTCTCCTTGTATGTGCACTATATTCCGCTATCAGAAAGAAATATGCTTTACGTCCAAATCCAAATGACCCAAAGATTATGATATTTCAGTATATGTTAAAATATTAAGTTGTTATACAAAAGTTAAGTTGTTATACAAAACTGTCCTATATATAATAACCACACACCGTTGTTTTGAAACAAATTTGTATGTAGCGTTTACAATGTCGGTACCACCTCCGTTCTATATGTACTAAAGGCTTGTGGACGTGAAATGTTTGAACGAAGATTGACTGGTTGAATTATTATTGATGTACTCTCTCATTTATTTTCTTTACAGTATGGGTTCCATCGACGCCTGTCATCTGGGTTTGATATATACGATAGCAACATTGTCCTTCGTTCAAACCGACCAGCTTGCATTGGCTCGTCCGTGTACCGTGGATTCACAGGAATACATCGCTGACTGCCGTAACAGGAACCTCTCCGACATACCCCATGGCCTTCCAGTGAACATCAACACCTTACTTCTCAGAAACAACACCATCAACATAAAACACTTGTCTTCTGGCTTGTCTCGATTCTCTCATCTTTACCATCTTGATTTGTCCTTCAATCAACTGCGTGTTTTGCAACCAAGAGCATTCATTCATCTTACGAGTCTTGAAACTCTAAACTTAGAGTGAGTGAGTGAGTTTGATTTTACGCCGCTTTGAGGAATATTCCAGCAATATCACGGCGGGGGACACCAGAAATGGGCTTCACACATTGTACCCATGTCGGGAATCGAACCCGGGTCTTCGGCGTGACGAGCGAACGCTTTAACCATTAGGCTACTCGACCGCCCCTCTAAACTTAGAAGGCAATCACCTCCCTCTTAACAGTTCGGCATATCCAAATGCCACGTTTCAGGGTCTTCGTAACCTTCAGTCGTTGGAGATAAACAACAACATCAATGATGAGGATCAATTCTCAGATATGGAATATCCAGGACATGTACTAGCAGAGTTGAAGAATTGTTTATTGATGGTATACCTTCAGGTGTATTTGATGAGGAGTTTCAATCTCTCAGGAAGCTTAGAAATTTAACGTTATCTGGGAGGATAGGTACATGTAATATTGGAAACATAAGTTTCGACTACTTTAGAAATCTGAAGCATCTGACTTATCTGAACATGACGAGTTGTTCTATATCGCGCATTGGAAGACGGGCTTTAACTAATTTAGATAACATCACAATTCTTGACATGTCCGGCAATACATGTTGAAAATATTTTGTATGGTCTCAAACATTCCTCGGTTGAAATTTTGAAACTGAATGCCATGGTGAGTGAATATGCAACATGTACTGTCATCACTAACTTAATGGCGCAGCATCTTCACAGCACCAATTTAAGGGAACTGTGATTTAATGATAATCATATTGTTACCGCTGAAAAAGAAGTATTGTCACTTCTTCCCAAAAGTCTGGAGGTACTTTCCATTAGGAAAAGTAGACTTGTGTATGGCACTTTCTTTAAATATTTGAACCAACTGCAAAACGTGCGGATGATTGACCTAAGCGAAAGTATTGGCAGCGCTGTTCCCTTCATTCCTGAATTATAATTTAGTCTTCCCCCTAAACTGGAGACTTTCTACTGTGACGACAGCACATTTAGGATTTCTTTTTTTAACTTCACCCCAAACAATCTAACGAAAATCAGTTACAGGAAAAACGTCATAACCTACTGGACGGGTCCAAAGTATGGTTTAAACCATTTAACTGAAATTGACCTATCAGAAAACTTCTGCGATCGTGTTTATGATGGTTGTCTGAAAGGCTTTACTAGTCTCAAGATATTAAGAGCTAATAGAAACTACCTTGGGGCCTTCTTAGGTAACGATAAAAACGGGCAGGTGTTTGCTTATTCACCAACCCTCGAATTTTTAAATCTATCTTTGAACAGAATCCAGTTTTTACCAGTGAATGTGTTTCGAAACCTTGTCAGTCTGAAAAACTTGAACCTAAGTGAGAACAGTATCACAAAACTGAAAGTAAAGGTTAGTCATATGACCAATTTGACATCTTTGAATTTAAGTTCAAATCAAATTCCATCCCTAAATCACATGTTTATGTCTCAACTGGACATAATCAGCAAAAGCTCTGCTTTAAAGGTTGATCTTTCAGCCAACCCACTTATCTGTTCCTGTGAGACATTATCTTTTGTAAAATGGATGACACAGAGAAAGGACATGTTTGCAAGCCAACATTTGTATAAATGTACATCACAATCTGGATGGTTATACAACGAAAATGTGTTTGAGATTCTTTCACAACTTCAACAAAAGTGCACCTCTCATTTTGGCCTAGCGATGGGACTGTTGGTTTCTGTAACAAGTTTCCTCTGCATCTTGTGTGCTTCTATCCTCTACAGGTATCGATGGAAGCTGATATACCTGTATTACATAGCGCGGGGACGTTACCGAAAAGTTGACCTGATTCAACACGGGAATGACAGGGAATATGAATATAATGCTTTTATCTCCTACGCTGACGAGAACCGTGACTTTGCTCTGCACATGTTCATCGAGAAGCTTGAAAGAGAAGGCAATCTTCAACTGTGTCTTCATCATCGTGATTTCATTCCAGGCGAGGCAATAGCTGCCAACATCCTGTCAGCCATTCAAAAAAGTAAACTTGTTGTCATCGTGCTTTCCCCTAACTTCCTGGACAGTTACTGGTGCAGATACGAGTTTGGAGGGTCTGTACACTGAGAGGAACATGGTTGTCCTGGTGAAGTACCAGGAGATCCTGCCCAACCTTGTGCCCAGGGACTTGTTGTATATGATGCACACACAGACCTTCCTGGAATACCCACAGACCGTAGATGACCAATACACGTTCTGGACTGCTCTCAAAGATACCCTTGTAGCACCTTAAAAATCATTTGGACATGCTATCAGTCAGATCCATGTGCTTCGCAAAAATGATCGTGACTTATCTTAAAGAAGCTTTCATAACATGCAATAAAGGCATATCCTCTGCTTCTTCTCTGAGGGATCTGATACAATCGCCCTATGTTATATAAGTTCTGTATATATTGAAACACTTTGAAAACGCATATTCGATTTTTTTTAATATTTGGCATCATAACCACAAAAATCAAATTAAGTGTTGTTTCGTGTATTTAGTCATGTGGTTTCAGTTGGAATCTCATTCGAGATTAGGGCGATCGGGTAGGCTACTGGTCAAAGCGTTCGCTCGTCACGCCGAAGACCCGGGTTCGATTCCCGACACAAGTACAATGTGTGAAGCCCATTTCTGGTGTCCCCCGCCTTGATATAGTTGGAATATTGCTTAAAGCAGCGTAAAGCCACACTCACTCACTCATTCGAGATAAGACACAAACACGTCATTATGCGTTTCCATTGAGTGTCAGCATGAATGGCGCCTTTGGGAGAATGTCTTAATTTTTAAGTTAGTCGCCCGTTATCACATATTGTACTTCAGATGTAAGATATTCAAAGTATATTTTTAATGTGCGTGTCTCAATTCATTTTCTGGTTCAAATCCCTTTCCACTGTATAAAACGTGCCCCTGTTTAATATGGTATAAATAGTGTTTATCATCACCATTTTCCTCAATCTCCGCGTTGTGTATTGATTTTATTTTTATTTTCTATTGATAATTGATTTAACTGCATAATTACATTTAAATGTTGAATGAAACCACATTATGCAATCGTTATTCTCTGAATAAATATATCTGCCTGAAAAATGGTTTGTCGGTATCATTTTATTTTACGGCATAATATTTAAATGTGAAATGAAATGAAACTGTGTAATCATGATTCTGTAAATAAACATACCTGTCTGAAAACATGCTATGCCTGTACTCAGTGGTCCAGTACAAAGAACGACTGCCGGAGAACGAAAGGTCGGGATGCATCTCCGGCCACAAACAAAAGACGTTAAAGATCGAAGATGCTGTTACCTTGTCTGGTGTTCGGAATTATGGGGGATAAAACAAGGCAAGAACCGGTCGGATCAGAGTCAGTGTACAATGAGGTGTGTGCGTGTGTGTGTGACCATTAAAGGTTTTATTCTAAAATATACTTTATGAGATGAAACAACATCAACAAGTATTGATCTTTATTTCACCCTTATGTTGGCTTTTAATGAACAAATAGGGCTGTTTGTTTAGATATGATTACACACTTAAACACTGCTTTTTGCATTCAATTCTTTATGAATAAATTATATATTTAAAAAAATATTTTAAAAAATATAATATTTTGAAAACAATTTTGCTACCAAACTCAATCATGTAACGCCATTATAATAATAAATGTTATAAAGGAAAGTTATGAAGGAAGGTTATAAAGGAAGTTAATAAAGGAAGGTTATAAAGGAAGGTTATAAAGGAGTGAGTGAGTGAGTTGGGCTTAACGCCGCTTTTAACAATATTCCAGTTATATCGCGGCGTGTCAGCTTAATGTGGGAGGAAAGCCCGAAGTGATGCAGGTCTCAGACGTTTACCACTTCGGTGAAACCCACGAGCACGGGTATGGTGCTGACAAACCTAGAAACATAATCGGGGCGAACCGGGATTCGAACCCACAATCATAGGTTTCTGGCGTGCCCAAGGGACGCGACTCTGCACAGCGAATCGCGGCGCCTTAGACGACTGGGCCACCCGTGCCCCCACGTCATACGTCTACGTTCATCACAAACAACTGCGAGCCTTCTATTACATAAATAGGTCGGTCAATCTAAACACAGCACTCGCACGCTCTTATTAGTCATATCCCTTCGGATGGATCTCATAAGACACTGGTTATGAAAAGCTATTTTTACATAAATTTAAACAAAAATTATCAGCAAAACTGGCGCCAACAAGTTTCCTCTTCACACTTTCTCAAGCATTATGCTGGTATTAAATCATTGTTACAACCAGAAAAATATTTAAGCATGTTACAAGATAAAACTCTATTGAGAGCTCTTTGTAAATTTTTCTCTCCATAACTCCCTTGTCAATGAAAATCGTAGAAACAAGGATTGTGATTTTGAAAATTATATATGTTCCAACTGTGCCAACCAGGAGAGTGAAGACGAGTTTCATGTTCTTTTTATATATGAAAAATATAAAACGTTGACATTTAAGTTTCTACCTAATTTAGATATTACACACAAAGACAATCAATTAATGATCAGTTTGTTGAATTCAACCAATGAAGAAGTTATCAAATCTTTAGCAATGTATTTGAAACATGTATTTTGACTCAGGTGAATTTAATATACTATGTTCAATATCACGTTTATTTCTATGTATCTGTTAAAACTGAACTGTACTATGGGCCATATGGCCTTGTATACTGAATAAACTGTCTGTCTGTCTGTCTGTATTAGTCATATTTACTTTAGACATTCCACAGAAAATTAGCAATGGCGGAAAGATTATTTAATTTGTTCATATACTGTTTTGTTGTCCAATAGAATAGTGAGTGAGTTGGGTTTAACGCCGCTTTTAACTATATTCCAGTTATATCACGGCGTGTCAGCTTAATGTGGGAGGAAAGCCAGAAGTGATGCAGGTCTCAGACGTTTACCACTTCGGTGAAACCCACGAGCACGGGTATGGTGCTGACAAACCTAGAAACATAATCGGGGCGAACCGGGATTCGAACCCACAATCATAGGTATCTGGCGTGTTCAAGGGACGCAACTCTACACAGCGAATCGCGGCGCCTTAGACGACTGACCCCCCCCCTTTTATCATTTATTTTCAAACGTACAGAATGATCAATATATCAATACCCACAAATCAACATTATTTTCAACAAACATAAGTGGGGAAAAAACAACATTAAGTTATTTTTTTCACTGAATAATAATTATATACAGCTTGAAAAGAAATTGACATTTTCTTCTGAATTTGGCATTTAGAATAATATTAACATAAAATTGTATGCTAAATGTAGTAAACCGATGTAACATTAATCTGCAAGATTTACTGTAATTACGACATTCGAGGATATAACTTAAAAAAACACAATAAGTCTGAACCACAATTAGAGACATGATTTCTACCCTATGCATCTGGTCGCCTCTTGCGACAGACACAGGTTGCTGGGGAACTATTCTAGCCCTGGATCCAGACGGGAGTTGTCATTTTAATAACTGATTGAATTTACGATATGAATAGAGAATATGATCTAAATAATTGATTGTATGATATATATTTTATTACCCTAATGATACGTCCTAATTTGAGAACCTTGTAAATTGTCTCGATGGTGTGTATCAGTTAATGGACAAGTTAAACATTATCACAAGCAAAATATTGCAAGTTAACGACGAAACCCAATAAAACATATATATTAAGATTCACAATAACGTGCCTTCGTTTTTATTGATTGTATATTGAAATAAACTGAAGCGGACGGTCAGAAAGGACGGTGTTTTACATGGGGAATTATAAAAAGCATGTTCTTTTCAATTTCTTTTCGACAGCACTGAATACGAGTCATTGATATTTCTACACGGTTTGGCTTTGGCCGTCTGTGAGAATATATCCACAGTTCGCAGACATGGCACCAATAGTGACAGTAGAAGTAGTTCCTCTCCATACTAGTTCCCTGCAAGCCCATCTACATGGTGATGGGTGGTCGGGAGTGGGGACAGAACAGTTCCATTTGTTGTTTGGATGAAATAATTAAAAGCAAGATATCTAATATTATCCACCACTATATGTGCTTTACGCATCTTATGAAGTGAGTAAGTGTTTGGCTTTGTTTAAGTGATCGCCTGACCGGTCCAAAAGATGAGCTAGAGGAGATGCTGAAGCGTGATGCAGCTAAACACGCTACCGCTGAGTCCGCAGTCCACAAGAACCTCATGATTGCTGATGAACTGGATGCGGAAAGAAAAGCTGCGGCACTGGAGGCTGAGATATGAGCTGAAGCTGTTGCTGCAGAGGGGCGAATGCTCCTGCTGAATGGAAGGAGATCCTGATTGCTGCAGCTTTGGAGGCCGAAAGAGTGGCTGAACTTTCGAAGACCACTGTGACGCCTACAGCAATGGAGGCCGACAGGTGAGTCACAGCTGCCATGGAGTGGCCAATCTGTTGTATCAGGGGAGGCCGAGAAACTATCCTCAGAAGCTGCTGCTGCTACGCAGGCCAATGATGAAGGCTCTGCAGTTGCTGCAGCAACATCCAAAACCTCAAAAGCCGAAACACTTCCTGGTAGGAAATGTGGACGCTATATACACAACATTTACGTCATTAGAAACTGCCTAAGAAAGCAACAGAGCCAATCCCAATCCTGTATTTCCAGCTCCACGAATCATCCACTTCCGGGCCGCTAACAACCGCCCCATGCATGTTACTGATGGAACAAGTTTGGGCTGAAGACATTCGCTTTCCACCCACCACTACATTCTACCTACTAGAGGTCACCCCACCTCGATTAAATAATTGAATGAGTTACAATCCGGCAACGGGGCGTTGTTAAGGACTTGACGAAGCTTCCCTAGATATCCAAATCCAACTTCGTCAAGGCAGAGGGAAGAACAAAAACGAGCTCATTCCAATATCATCAAACATTTATTTCATATAAATTAGAAGCCATTTATAATGACAATGCTAACTAAATGTTATACAAAATAAATGCTTCAACATGACGCATATTCAATAAATGACAAAATAGTTCTCAAAATATGAATATTGAAACAACAGTTAGTAAACATGAACGTCGATGTCTTGTGTGGCAATGCCAAGGGCAGACACAAAAACGGGGCTGCCACGATCAGGCGATAGACGGTTATTATACAACTACAGTTATTTCATAAGCATGTGTTTTCAAATCACTATCAAATAGTGATGATAGCTGGTGTTCACGAATCCTGTCCCACTGATTTACCCGTCACAAACACATGCAAAAGCAAGTCAACCGCTCACCCGAAAAAGACGGGAAACTACGGCACAAGCCCAAACAGAGAGCACCAAATTTTTGTCATAATGCGTTAAATTCGAATCTACAGGAATGTAACACCTAAGTCAAGCTAAACCATGTTCGTCACGTAAAAAACATAAAATGCCAAAATATAGTTTTCTTTCTCTAACGAACTTCAACATTAAGCACAGTTTTTCGCCTAATGGGTCCTTTTAACAAATAGGAAATATGACGCTCTGTGGACCAAGTGCCTAAGTAGCCGCACGTCATCAAAATACAAAACAAAGTACAAAACAATAAGGAGATCTAAACATCACAAGTTGTACAGGAATGAGTAAACCTACATATACAAATATTGACTTGACATGCCGAGTCAATGTTCTGTGTGCATAGTTCATCTTTGGACGGACGTATTTGCGTATATCTCTGGCAATGTGTAAATGCTGATCAGTTCTCAGTGCTGTTATGCATAGCATGGGAATGGCACATCCATTGGAGTATCACGGAAATTACGGGAAATAAACATAAATTAAACAATCAATATAATTATGATATTGTTTATATGATATCAATTTCAAGATCATGATGGATCATGTAAAATCATGTTTGTTGTTCAATGTACTTTTACCAAAAAAATTACGACGTTTATTTCTGGCGATAAAATACTGTTAACAAATATGAAGAATCATATCATTATTATGATTTATTAAATGTTTGTAGTTTAACAAATATTCCAGCTGTATGACGCGGTCTGTAAATGATCAAATCTGGGCAAAACAATCAAGTGATTGACAAAGGTAAATGCATTGTCCCGCGGGGTAGGCCTATAGGTAATTGACGAGTGTAAAGAGAATGTCGTTAAAAATGGACACGTATTACGTTGGGGGAGGGGGGGGGGAAGGTTATTTTAGGACTTTTGTACACACGTGGGGAAAGTTACTGGAAGCTCTAGGTCAGTTTTTAATGTCAATAGTTCATAAACAATATAAAATTCACAATGTTGGCGGATATGGTGGGAGATTCTGAACGTCACAATATCACAAATATGCTTTGAGAATGTTTTATGGTGACAAACGATATACTTTCAAATTATTATCTTACGTGCTTTTTTAACTGTGTACTATACAACCAAGCCGTTGCAATGTACGCCGGTTACTAAACTGGGTCACAAAGAGCCTTTTTCACGAAAGGTGTTATTTGGCTGAGTGCAACAGTCATGAAAAAGCGTTAATAGAAAGATTATACGGAAAAACGACATTTCTAGAAAAGCTTAATCAGGACATATCTTAAAAATAGTCCAAAGTAGGCTTAATTTGTTGGGTACTCGCGTGAGACTAATTCAGTCATATGGGAGTGAGTGAGTATGGTTTTACGCCGCTTTTGCAGTATTCCAGCAATACCACGGCGAGGGACACAAGAAATAGGTTTCACCCATTGTACCCATGTGGGAAAACAAACCTAGGCCTGCGGTGTGACAACCGAACGCTTTAACCACTAGGCTATCCCACGGTCCCTCAGTCAAATGTGAGTGAGTGAGTGAGTTTTGTTTAACGCCGCTTTTAACGGTATTGCAGTTATATCACGGCGTGTCAGCTTAATGTGGGAGGAAAGCCCGAAGTGATGCAGGTCTCAGACGTTTACCACTTCGGTGTAATCCACGAGCACGGGTATGGTGCTGACAAACCTAGAAACATAATCGGGGCGAACCGGGATTCGAACCCACAATCATAGGTTTCTGGCGTGCCCAATTGACGCAACTCTGCACATCGAATCGTGGCGCCTTAGACGACTGGACCACCCGTGCCCCACCAGTCATATTAATTTGGCAACTTGATCATCATGTTGAAGATGGTGCTTGTTAATACAGACGATGACGGTACCTTATGAAATTGTCTGCATTGACAAATGGTGGCTATATAATCAAGTGCTTTTGTATGTGGACGTACAGTAATTATGGGAGTTAATTGATTGTCTTGTACGGTCGGATGTTAGCTGATTCAGGACGATTAATGATTATCTTTGCAAATCTCAAACATGATACATAAACATTATTGATGAAAAGTGTGTCCTGATATAGACTACTAACACAGAGAAACAGCAAAGCTGATTTCCCTGTCATGTACAGAGGGAAGAGTAACGCTAATCTCCCTGTCATGTACAGAGAGAAAGAGTAACGCTAATCTCACTATCATGTACAGAGAGAAAGAGTAACGCTAATCTCCCAATCACGTACAGAGATAGAGAAACGCTAATCTCCCTAACGTGTACAGAGAGAAAGAGCAACGCTAATCTCCCAATCATGTACAGAGAGAAAGATCTACGCTAATCTCCCAATCAAGTACAGAGAGATAGAGCAACGCTAATCTCCCTGTCATATACAGAAAGAAAGAGCAACGCTAATCTCCAGTCGGTACCATCCGTGTCATTCCGTAAAAACAGATTCCGGAACATTCGTCAACACTCGCCCCTTTCCGTCACCTGCAAGAAGATATTTGGCTTGTCCCGGAATAACACGAGTTGGTCACGAATGATTCCGGAAAAGAGTAAGCCGTAACCAAAGATCACGGAGTGACACGAAAGGTCACGAATTGTACGACATTCGAAACACATCGGTGTTGCTTTCTGCCTGACTCTGCCCCATTGTCTGAAGGTTTCATGTAGAGTAGGGATGGCTGACATTTCTTGTCTAGCCGATGCTACCCGGCAGTAGTTCTGCTGCTCTTGCCCTTTCAATCGATACAGGTGATTGTCAGCTTCTAATAATCCAGTACGAAAACAATATGAATTTGCACCAAAATTGACGACAACCCTCCATTATCCAGAGATGGCCTGTGGTCTATTGTAGAATAGTGTTTCTGATAAGCTGGATAATCGAGAACGTTGCAGCGCATGACGTAATCGTATAAAAACAAAAGTATCTCCCGATATATCACTTGAGCAGGGATATATATCACCAGGGACTCAATTTGTTGTGTTGACATGTATATTCGTGACACATTTCAACACCCTCGTCAAGTTTCAGCACTTCTTGCTATCACGTAATGCTATGCAAAACTATTCAAATAATGTCGTTATTTTCGTATACACAAAATTCACAAGAAAAACCCTGTTGATGAATAAACATCACATCCAGCAACGTAAACAGTGTTCATTCAACACATATCCAATTAAGCACTAGCGTAGATTATGTTGGGGAGTGTGCTATCCATGAATTATATGTGAACAGCTTTGTACTTAAGTTACCAGACCCAATAAGATGCACGGATTAGCAACGGTATCCTTTAGTCAAGGTTGCACAACACACACTGGGAGCCTCACAACGCCGTTGGTTGCGGGTTCACAAACGTTCCAATTGTCTGATGATGGACGATGACGAATGATTGTTCCTCAGTGAGGAGCATGGCACTGTTGTGTAACCTTTGACACTGCCCTGACCATATGTTTCTCCGGGTCCTCCGGTGCCCACATAGCTTGACCAGTAGATGGTCATTCAGAACAATTGTGGACTCACATGTGTAACGTCGCAGGTGTCTCGCTGGAGATGATGTCATACGATGTAAATGTTCAAGTTCTGCAACTATAATGTCTCTTCCGTCTCACTGGATGTGATGTTACTATAATGTCTCATGCGTCTCACTGGAGGTGGTGTCACTATAATGTGCTATGCGTCTCACAGGGGATGTAACACTAATGTCTCATGCGTCTCACTGGAGTTGGTGTGACACTAATGTCTCATGCGTCTCACTGGAGGTGATGTTATTATAATGTCTCATGCGTCTCACTGGAGGTGGTGTGACACTAATGTCTCATGCGTCACACTGGAGGTGGTGTGACACTAATGTCTCATGCGTCTCACAGGAGGTGGTGTCACTATAATGTGACATGCGTCTCACTGGAGGTGGTGTCACTATAATGTGACATGCGTCTCACTGGAGGTGGTGTCACTATAATGTGACATGCGTCTCACTGGAGGTGGTGTCACTATAATGTCTCATGTGTCTCACTGGAGGTGGTGTCAGTATAATATGTCATGCATCTCACTGGAGGTGATGTGATAGGATGTAAATGTTAAAGTCCTGCAACTATAATGTCTCATGCATCTCACTGGAGGTGATGTCACTATAATGTCTCATGTGTCTCAATGTTGGTGACGTCACACAATGTAAATGTTGAAGTTCTCCTGTCTGAAACACAACTGGGCCTCCTGCAGGATCCGGAGTCTTGGCCCCATGGGGATCCCTATGCTCTGCAGGCGGTCCTCGGTCATGTAGGGCAACTCTATCATGCCGATGTGTTCGTTGGAAAAGTTCTTGGCGTATCTCTGAAGGGAAAACCAGAAGCATTACAGTGGGTCAGTAGGGTTTTACATTGTTTTGAACATTATTTCAGTGTCAGTTATTTTTGGAGGAAAGTTGACTTGTATCGTAGACGTGGTTCACTTAGACAAGACACATGGACACGGATATGGTTTTGTTGAACCAATTATAACAAGACAAAGAGTAAGCGGAGCTCACTACTACCCCGACTTCGACTCCAACATATTTCGAAGTTCCAAACATGAAAAAAAGCAATTTTTCTCAGATAATCCACTTATCGAAACCAAACTTTGCACTGCACCTCTCCTATGTGCAGTGAATCCATGAAGTAGTTTTTAAGTAATAGGTCGCACAAATGTTCATGTAAAATAAATTTCTAAGTTCAAAATACGAAAAAGAAATCATATTTGTTTTCAGAAAATACACAAATCAAAATTAAACGTTGCACTGCACCTCTTCTATTAATATGGAAACTGTTCCATTAGTTTGAAAAGAATCCACGTAGTAGTCTTCTAGTTAAAGGTGGCAGAAATGTATAGGTGGCACTAATGTTTAATTAAATAAATCTAAGTAAAAAACTGAAAAAAGCTGTATTTTTTCAGAAAATTCAAATATTGAAATATTTGAACTGCACCTCTCCTATATAAAAAGTGTTCACCAAGTTTTAAAAAGAATCTATGTACAGTAAATTACGCTTATAACGAACACACTAATAACGAACTGACGGATATAACGAACTTACTTTTTTGGTTCCGACTATTTGCTGTAGTTATGCTGTATATATACTTATAACGAACTACGGTTATAACGAACTAAAGTTAGTAGTCCCCTTGAGTTCGTTATAACCGTACTTTACTGTAGTAGTTTTCAAGCTGTAGGTTGCACACAGAAATGACAGACGGACAGAATTCCTTGGTGTAACTCTCTACCCCTGCCCTTAAAGGTCGGGGGAATAATAATCAGGACAATTCTGGGATTCGAACCCACAACCATCAGATTCTGACACGAGTAAGGGAGACAACTGCATGACCTTCAGTAGGGCACACGTTGCCACCAAATCATTGCAGACAACCAGGAAAGGGTTTATCCAAACTGTGGAAATGTTGTACGTCCAATACAATAAAACCTATTTCTTGTGTAAACAACAGGAAATAATACTATCGTAGCACCTTGAAATAGGAGTTATATAAACAATCGGAGGTTTATACTTACGTCGTAGCCGAGTTTCTGCAAAAATATTTCTAACAGAGGAGGTTCCTGACCAAAGAACCTGAAAAAAATTCATTTGTTAGACACTGAATTATTGTATTGAAATATTGTATTGTTCATTAATTAAATATAGGTTCTGTTTGTAATTCTAAATTATAGTAGACAGCTTTTAATACAGCTACTTCAGAGCCTAAAATAGTCAACGGGACATCAAGGAGAATATCAAATATGTAAACACGTCACAATGTGAACATCGTATCAATATTTGATATATCTTCCCCGAGAATTAGCAAGTGAAGGCCTTTCCAAGAGGCAGCATCTAATTTACGCCTTTGGTGTAACACATAAGCAGGGGCCGACGCTGGCTGACTGCGTCATTCGTCAACACTCGCCCCTTTCTGTAACCTGCAAGAAGACTCGTCCCCCTATCGATGAATGTTATGTGCGAAAATACGACAAACCAATCAGAATGCGCGTATGATTTCAAGTTCTTCGTCAAAGAATCCCTCACAAATATATTTTTATTTTACATATGTCTTGCATCTAAACATATACCAAAGACACAGTTTAATGTATTCAATCATACTGTATAATTCTGCACGTCCCGGTGTGCTTTAAATTGCATCTGAGATATTAATAATATATGGGGAAAATGTGTGAACCATTACGCAACGAGTGGACAATTGTTTTAGGTATGCCCGTTTGCGCCAAGACGGAACCCGGTCGCAAAAATGGCCACGAGAGGGGCACGAGTCGCTATTCGGCTTGTCCCGGAATAACACGAGTTGGTCACGAATGTGACCGCGTACCAGTATATGGGCGGAAGTGGAATTCAAACCCTTGATAAACAGATCCTGGCAAGACTATGGGACGCCACTCTACACAGTGAGTTGCTGCACTCTAAACCCCCATGAGCTACCCGTTTAGCTCATAACACTCTACATATCAAATATGTATTACTGAATCAGTGTTTACTTTTAATTTGTTTGTTTGTTTGTGCACTCAGCAATATTCCAGCTACATGGCGGCGGTCTGTAAATAATCGAGTCTGGACCAGACAATCCAGTGATTGTCATTAGCATCGATCTACGCAATTGGGATGCGATGACGTGCATCAACCAAGTCAGCGAGTCTGACCAACCGATCCCGTTAGTCGTCTCTTACGACAAGCATGGGTTTACTTAAATAAATCCTGTGTGAGTTCCTGCGCATGGTCTTTCGACACATTGAGTGCTCTTCCAGCACTATATCAGACGTGGGAACACAATGCCGGGAACATTCGTGACCAACTCGTGTTATTCCGGGACAAGCCGAATAGCGACTCGTGCCCCTCTCGTGGCCATTTTTGCGACCGGGTTCCGTCTTAGCGCAAACGGGCATACCTAAAACAATTGTCCACTCGTTGCGTAATGGTTCACGCATTTTCCCCATACATTGTTAATATCTCAGATGCAATTTAAAGCACATCGGGACGTGCAGAATTATACAGTATGACTGAATACATTAAACTGTGTCTTTGGTATATTTTTAGAAGCAAGACATATGTAAAATAAAAGAAATATTTCTGAGGGATTCTTTGACGAAGAACTTGAAATCATACGCGCATTCTGATTGGTTTGTCGTGTTTTCGCACATACCATTCATCGATAGGGGGACGAGTCTTCTTGCAGGTTACGGAAAGGGGCGAGTGTTGACGAATGTGTCGGGAATACAGCTCGGTACTTGGCGTGACAAGCGAAGGCTTAACCACTCTGATTTACTGCCATCCCTTCTGAACTTAGACTGACATTTAGTCCCAGAAATAAAGTTATCTTATTTCAAAATATATATCTACAAAAATAATTTCAGAGACCACCTCCGTGGTCTAGTGGTAGAGCGTCCGTCCGGAGAGCGGAAGGTCCGGGGTTCGATCCCCGGCCGCGTCATACCAAATGACATTCATGAAGATGATACTTGTTGTTACCCTGCTTGGCGCTCAGCATTAAGGGGCAAAAACAATGACTTGTGGGCTTGGAGTCAGTATACTGTGTCTCAGTAGGGTATTCATGTTAGACAGCGGCATGGTATCTCAGTAGGCTAGCACTATATAATCGACCAGTCACGCACGCACGTCGCAAGTGCAGTCTTGAACGTAACGTTAAACCCCATTTTACCTCACCTCACCTTAATTTCAGAGCTTAGACGATCTAGACTTGTCAAAATTATTCTAGACTTGATGTTGGATTTACTTTTAAATATTTTCTCTAGGGTCTGGGGGACAGACTTCCATTCAACCCTGAGAATGCCCGGTAGTCGGAATGAACCTTACTTGGTCAGCTTGTTGACACGTTTGGGGTTCGTGAGTGATGGAATCCACCCTCGGAACCTCTCGAAATCGCTGACGTTGTTGTTGAAAGGTGAGTTGTTGATGCTGTGAAGATGTTGCTGTTGACGAAGTTCACGTAGTTCCTTCTTAACCGTTTCCATCTCGTGGGTCATAGACGTCTGGTTTCGTAGCTCCGACGACAGGTGCGCCACACTCCGCGCCAACGTTACAACATGGGATTCCAGTTTCTGGAAGCGTCGCTGGATGGCCCTGGAAACATTCTTACAGTTCACAAGGAGTCTACTCTGCTTGTCTCGAAGTGTATGCTTGTTTCGAAGTGTATGCTTGTCTCGAAGGGTATGCTTGTCTCGAAGTAGGCTTTCCAATTTACACCACATTCTTATATCCCGGTAAAGTACATAAATGATAAAATAAAATATTATTTCTTTAACTAAATCTTTTAATTTAAAGGACACTTTTTGCATCATGAATGGGGATAACGCATGGTATTTTACGCTGCAATCAGTAAAACCATAAACGGGTCACAACAATCTGTAAAAAGATCACACAAACCAGTGGTCGATAGCATGAGCAACACGGTACGTAATAAGATGACATCATTTGGCAAGACGTACATTGCAACCACCGATCCCTAATTTAATGTAAGTCAACTCTTAACGGCCACGGCGTATACTCAGAAACGGCATTTGTCCTGTGTACGTATGTAACGGTATTATGGGTGGAACCCTACTTTGCATAAGGATTGAACGATATTTTATAATTTCATAACTATAAACGTAAAAAATCAATGACTTCAATTTTTTTATAGTTTCCTAATACATCATACAGAATATAACTCGCAAGCGGAAAGCTTTATAGATCGACTATTTTGATTCTTGTATCTGTATGTCAGTGAAACAGTATGAAAAAAAATATTCATGACGTGTATTTACTTATGTAATGTATATGTCATGAATGAGTGAGTGAGTTAACATTTTACATCGCATCGGCAATATTGCAGCCATATGCGATACGTCATTAATGGGATGACTGAACACGGTCCAATACAGTGCACGCTTTTATTATTTATTTAGTAACATAATGTGGTCTCGTGACTTGATCCAAGACGTCTGACAATCGAAATTATTATGAGCGAGTGAGTGAGTATGGTTTTACGCCGCTTTAAGCAATATTCCAGCAATATCACGGCGGGGGACACCAGAAATTGGCTTCACACATTGTACCCATGTCGGGAATCGAACCCGGGTCTTCGGCGTGACGAGCGAACGCTTTAACCACTAGGCTACCGACAGCCCCGAAATGATTATGACGAACTACAGTTATAACGAACTAGTATTAGTGATCCCTTTGAGTTTACTGTACAATACATGTGAAAATTCAAGGTCCTTAAAGGACATTTAGAATTACTGAGTTGGCGATAGAAAAAAACCCATAAAAATGAACATTGTCCGTGAATGCAAATCACAAGTGTCAATATAACGTCCGCCACCAGCCCAAGGAACGACGACTTACTTGATGTCCCGGGAGTAGTTCCTGTGCGAGGCGCTGGACCGGAAGCGCTTCCCCCTGTTGATGGAGCTGGTGTCGGAGCTCCCGAGACTCCACCTCCTCCTGAAGGAGGACCTTGGGATGTCTGCCCCGGCCTGTCGGAGGACCTGGTGGTAGACGGACTCCAGCCCCTGCAGCTTCTGCCGGAGGGCCCGGGCGTCCTTCGGGGAGATGTTGTCGGTGTCCGTGAACTGCTCGCTCTCAGGGTCCACCATCAACATCGTGTTCTCCACGTCGAAGGACAAGTTGCTTTCGTTGCCAGATTCTCGGAGGTCCTCCAGGCTATGTGCTTGAACTGACCAGTGTGGAAGAATGTAATGCTTATCCTTTATCCTATTCTTCAGTAAAATAAAAAATATATCTTATTCTTATTGTGATGTGACCTTGTTCGTCTTATTTGGGTCAGTGAGAGATCAGTCACCTCAAGTCAGCAACAGTCAAATGAATGCTTATTATTAGGCTGATCAAACATCTTTTGAGCAAGTATGGGGCTCCGTTGATCTTCACAATGAAAGAAGTTTGAATGGTGAGTGAGTGAGTGAGTGAGTGAGTGAGTGAGTGAGTATGGTTTTACGCCGCTTTTAGCAATATTCCAGCAATATCACGGCGGGGGACACCAGAAATGGGCTTCACACATTGTACCCATGTCGGGAATCGAACCCGGGTCTTCGGCGTAACGAGCGAACGCTTTAACCACTAGGCTACCCGACCGCCCTTGAATGGAACTAAACCAAAACTTTATGGAAATTTATAACAGTGCAAAATGATTTACATTTAAATGGTATAAGAAATTTACAAATGCACTAAATTTTGAGTGAGTGAGTTGGGTTTTACGCCGCTTTTAACAATATTCCAGTTATATCGAGGCGTGTCAGCTTAAGGTGGGAGGAAAGACCGAAGTGATGCAGGTCTAAGACGTTTACCACTTGGGGGAAACCCACGAGCACGGGTATGGTGCTGACAAACCTAGAAACATAATCGGGGCGAACGGGGATTCGAACCCATAATCATAGGTTTCTGGCGTGCCCAAGGGACGCAACTCTGCACAGCGAATTGCGGCGCCTTAGACGACTGGGCCACCCGTGCCCCCTACTTTTTGATAAAAGGTTATGACATTATATCTTAATCCACTATACATTTTAGTTGAAGTAAATTGCCGGGCAAAAAGAGTGAGTGAGTGAATGAGTATGGTTTTACGCCGCTTTAAGCAATATTCCAACAATATCACGGCGGGGGACACCAGAAATGGGCTTCACACATTGTACCCACGTCGGGAATCGAACCCGCATCTTCGGCGTGACGAGCGAACGCTTTTAACCACATTTGTAAATTGGATTAGAACAAACAATTATAAACGCTATCAAAACGTTACTAGGCTGAAAACTTCAAATTTAAGATTCAAAAACCAACCGTGATACCTGTATAAACTCCATCACCATGAAATAACCATTCCGTGTTTGTTTCCCGTTTAGCTACCATCAAACATGGCTTTATACTAATTTTTCATCGTCAGTTTGATAGAAACTCTCACCTCGAGTAAGATTGGTCCTTGTTCTGTGGTGTTGTCTGGGTGTTGGGTTCACCCTGGGAGTCTTCTTGCTGTGTCTACTGATGCCCGCCATGTCGATCTGGCTACTTGAGGCCCTGAGGTCTCGCTTGTCGAAGACCGACCCGGGCCTTGCTGTGGACGAGAGGAGGTCAGGCGTCTTCGGTGGGGACACGTTACTGGCGCTGTAGGATCGACTGTACTTAGAGAGGGGCTCTGGTCCTCCCCTTGGGGTTGAGTCGGGGGACAGGGGAGGAAGGGGCGGGGTCACAGAGCGGGAAGAAGACTCACTTGCATAGTCAAATATGCTCTCTGCAGCTCCTAAGTGATACTGACCACTTTCATCGTCGCTATCAACAAAACCGTGGTTCACATGCGGAGACGTGTTTGTTTCTGAGAGTCTTGAAGGATGAACTTTATGCTGTGTGTGAGGCTCGGCTTGAGAATGTCTTTGAGCAGGAATATTAGTCCTAGGGGATATTTCCGGCGGTAGTCTATTTTGCACATGATTAGTCCTAGAAAACACACTTTTTTCATCATTTTTAATTTGTACCTGATTTAATCTGGAAAACACGTTGTTTTTTTCACTGTCACCAATCCTTTGCACCGAAAGCCTCTGCTCTAAAGACCTAGCAATGTCCTGATCATGGCGGCTGTCAGTCGTCTGCCTATTGCTTGACGACCCTTGACCTTGTTTGGCACTTGAAGGACGACTTCCTGGTTGGTCGGGATATTTGGCAGAGGGTCCCAGTGCCTGTTCGGACATGGCGTCCCGGTTGCTGTCAACGGTGTCGTCTCTCATTTCATCGGCGTTGTCATCGTCATCGTCTTCTGGCTTGAACGTGCTGAAGCCCGTGTTCTTTCCCGAAAAGGAGCTTGAATTTGACCCTGATTGTTGACCTTGAGTACTTGAACTTTGACCAGTAGGGCTAATTCTGACGGTGGTACTCAACTGGTCCAGACTTGACTTTCGTTGTTTATGCTGATGTTCCTGATGTTGTTGCTGCTGTTGTTGCTGTTGATACTGCTGTTGTTGATGATGTTCCTGTTGCTTTTCTTTTTGCGTTGGTCCCATTGTGAATACACCCTGAATACAGTAAAAAGAACGTAAGTTAGTCATGTAAATACAACCAGATATACAGACGAGGGTATATCATCAAAATGCATTTTCGGACGATGTTTGATTTTTTTTTAAGATGACCTCTATCACCGTTCCAACAAGGATCCATGACGGATCCACTGGGCACGCCAGAAAACTATGATCGTGGGTTCGAATCCCGGGTCACCCCGATTATGTTTCTAGGTTTATTAGCACCATACCCGTTTGATTAACTCTGTTAGATCTCATGATAAATGTAGGAAGAAACTTGTTCACCAAAAAATCGAAGAGTTTATGCCCAGTATGCTATTCAGCTAGAGGAAATGAAATCCATTTTCCTTTTGTACGTCCTTAATATTGTGATCTGAGAAATAATGTTATACCAGAATCCTATCTGTCAAGTTATCCTGTACCTGATTATATTTCTTTTCTTACTTCAAAAGATTATGTTGTCATATTTAAATTGGCTTTATATGACAAACATGTTATTTCTCTTTAAAACGAATTGTTAAAAATGAAAATGAAAATATGTAACCAAATAAAATAAGTAACTCATTTGTGTATAGGCTAAAGGCCTTAAATGCAATACATATTTTTAACTGTGATTCGAATATCACAATCCAATCATATATGCGAGATACATTCTGATATCAGAGGTGGGCTGTGGCCTCAAGTAGAGAATGTATCTAGGGTATGTGTCAAGGAGACACTATACATATAATCCGCCGTGATATTACTGGAATATTGCTAAAACGGCGTAAAACTATACTCACTCACTATAGATATAAGAGACTAGATAACCGAGAATGGCACAGGTAATGTTGACAGGGCTATAGCCTGGAAGGTAACTTAACTCGAAAGGGTGCACGGGAATCACGCACGTTGAGTCGCCCAACGGTAACACCGTATTCGTGCGTGCGTGATTCCCGTGCAACCTTTCGAGTTGCGTTGATTGGTTCAACTGTGTCATATGGCCCTGTGACGCAGGGGTAGCATTATGCAGATGGCTGTTTCAATGAATGCTCGTTCCACCCGTGACGAACAGGTCTGGTTGTTGATGAAATATCGTGATAGCTAAATAGACAGATTTTTTATTCATGCACCGATTGTCTTTAAATGTAATATCCAGTTTAGTATGACTGTTTAATACATTCGTCAACACTCGCCCCTTTCCGTAACCTGCTTGTCCCGGAATAACACGAGTTGGTCACGAATGTGTTTAATAATAGACTATAGTACTCACGTAGTAGGAGTTGGCCGGGTTCTGTGACGAGGGCTGGTTGCTTGCGGGTCTCCACTCGGGCGCGCCATACAGTCGGTTCCAGGCAGAACGTAGGTCATCCCCTCCGACTTTAACTGGACGGGCACTGGACACACTGGTCAGGGAAAGACTGGACTTTTAGCATATTACTCCTTGTATCCTAAAATATAGCTAGTATTCTAACCATGCCGGCCCGATGGTAAAAAACAGGAAGAAACGTATCTCTACAAAATTGTACGTCCATCTTTACCAATTCGGTTCTGAGAGTAAAGATCGCTTTGCTGATGGTCAGTTGGTCAGCATATTACTCCTTGTATCCTAAAATATAGCTAGTATTCTAACCATGCCGGCCAGATGGCAAAAAACAGGACGAAACGTATCTCTACAAAATTGTACGTCCATCTTTACCAATTCGCTTCTGAGAGTAAAGATCGCTTTGTCGATGGTCAGTTGGTATCTTGAGTTTGAATTACACGCACTGAACTGAAAAGGCCCTCAACATATATGTTGAAAGAGGCGAGCGGACAGGCTTAGTAACTTGGTTGATAGCGTGTCATCGTACCCCGACGGCGTAGATTGTTGTTCATAATATCAATCATTGGACTGCCTGGTCCAGATTCGATTTTACAGGCCGCCATCATATCACTGGTATATTGCTGAGTGTGGCGTTATACAACAAATAGAAACGAAACCCTTGACAACAACCAGCCTAAGAATATAAATCATTTTTGTCATGTGGTCTCCATATTGCCCGCACTCCTTAACACATAGAACAGCCGTGTCCAGTAGATATAGGAATGGAGTGGTCTCAACATGGCAGCCTTTCAGGACACAGTGTTCCCATCAACGAGACGTTGTGATGTACGTATTCGCCTATACGTATTGCCACAATGGGTGAGTGAATGAATGTTGTTTGACGCCTTGGGCAGCAACAGACTAGGTACACGTGGCCTGCACAGATTCGAACCTAGACAGGGCAAACCAGTTCCTGGAAACATGAGCTATGACCCACATGGTCAATCATGAAACACACGGGACTCGAACCTCTGATCCGCACTTTAGGGCAAACTTGGGGTACTTGGACTATGCCCCGTGATGTCTTGCCTCCTCTCCCCATAACATAAGCCCCTTGAAGATCCGGGGTAGAATTGGTCTTCAGCACCCATGCTTGTAAGAGGTGACTAACGGGATCGGGTGGTCAGGCTCGCTGACTTGGTTGATGCATGTCATGAATCCCAATTGCGCAGGTAAGTTCTAATGATGTCACTGTACTGTCTGGTCCGGACTCGATTATTTGCAGACCGCCTTCACAAACATGGAAAATTGTTGTTTGTTTGTTTGTTTTTATTCTTGTTAAACGCCGCACTCGGCAATATTTCAGCTATATGACGGCGGTCCGTAAATAATCGAGTCTAGACCAGATAATCCAGTGATTGACATCATGAGCATCGATCCACGCAATTGGGATACGAGGACATGGATCAACCAGTCAGCGATCCAGACCACCCAATCCCGTTAGTCGCCTCTTACGGCAAGAATAGTCAGTCGCCTTTTACGGCAAGCATGGGTTACTGAAGACCTATTCTCCCCCGGATCTTCCGGCGTTAAACAACGAACAAAGAAATACACTTTGGCCTATTCTGATCCCTACACTGTCTCAAGGGCTGAAGGCTGCATCACAAATATAGCTGAACGGCTGACTACACCTGTACCCTATAACAATAGGTGAGGGCACAGTGAGGTGTTCCAAGATGAACTTACCCTTGTTTGACAGGTTGCTCGTCTGGGGTGAAGGCGGGGTTCTCATACTGCTGACGGGGAGACGGGGTGGGCTTGGGGTAGGGAGGGGGTAGCTTGGCCTTGCTGTTGTCGATAATGCTGTCTACCCGGGAACCAAGACGTCTCTCAGAAGGTTTGGAAGGCTGGATTGGAAGTTTTGGAAATCTAATTCAAAATATCGCTATAGCTGTCGACTGTAATCGGTGCTGTTACAGTGCTGAAACACTGTCTGCTTTGAAAAGTTAATACACTTTAAATGAGTGAGTACATATGAGTTGGGTTTATCGTAGATTTGAACCGTATTTCAGTTATATCACAGCACATCAGCTTAATTTGGGAGAATGAATTTGGTCATGCAAGTTTACCGTGTGGGTGAGACTCACGCGGGTACAGTGCTGACAATCAGCAGATCCTGAGTTCGGGTGAGGTGAGGTGAGGTGAGGTGAGGTGAGTTGAGGTGAAATGGAATTAACATCGCGTTCAAGATGCACTAATACAGCGACGTGCATGTACGTGTGTGTGGCTGCTTGTACTAGTCCAGACTTATGCCGATTTTATAGTGCCAGCCCACTGAGATACCATGCCGTATTTTAAAATGGGTTCCCCACTCAGAAACAGTGCACTGAGTCCGAGCCGACCAGTCCTTGTTTTAGCCCCTTAATGCGGATCCCTAAGCAGGGTAACAACAAGTGCCATCTTTAAACGTATTTTGGTGTGACGCGGCTGGGAGTTCGAACCCCGTACCTTCCGTACTCCGGGCACATACTCTTAAGTTCCGAGGGCGGTGAGGTAGCCTACTGGTTAAAGCGTTCGCTCGTCACGCCGAAAATCCGGGTTCGATTACCCACATGGGTACAATGTGTGAAGCCCATTTTCTGGGGTCCCCCGCCGTGATATTGCTGGACTATTGCTAAAAGCGGCGTAAAACCATACTCACTCACTCCTAACTTCCGGATTGAGGGGGGCACGAGTGGCCCAGTCGTCTAAGGCGCCGCGATTGGCTGTGCAGAGTTGCGTCCCTTGGGCACGCCAGAAACCTATGATTGTGGGTTCGAATCCCGGTTATGTTTGTAGGTTTGTCAGCACCATACCCGTGCTCGTGGGTTTCCCCGAAGTGGTAAACGTCTTAGACCTGCATCACTACGGGCTTTCCTCCCACATTAAGCTGACACGCCGTGATATAACTGGAATAATGTTAAAAGCGGCGTTAAACCCAACTCACTCACTCACTCCTAACTTCCGGATTGAGATTCATGTTATGGAGTTGTTTAAGGTAAGAAGGTTCGGTTTGAGACATCATATAATATACTGACCACATAACCCACACTGTGACCATGGAGCCTGCCCTGACCAGGGTGGCTGTAGCCTGGGGTTTGGGGCCCCGGCCCAGGGTAGGATCCCCGGTAGTACCCGCTGTTGACGGTCTCGTCATATCCCCGGGGCGAGGGGGCAGGAGGCACTAGCAACTCACCCTCTTCATGCTGTGGAGGAAAATAACACAGTGATCTTCGTCCTCCAGTAGTGGGACTGTGGATATGTGAAGTGGCACTTCATAAATAAGTAATGCATCCTCATACGTGAAGTAAGATATCGATGCTCATTGAATTTGTTTGTTTGTTTGACGCCGCACTCAGCAATATTCCATCTTTAAGACGGCGGTCTATAAACAATCGAGTCTGGACCAGACAATCCAGTGATTGACATAAGCATCGATCTACCCAATTGGGATACGATGACATGCATCAACCAAGTGAGCGAGCCTGACCACCCGATGCCGTTAGTTGCCTCTAACGACAAACATAGCCTCCTTTTACGGCAAGCATGGGTTGCTGAAGACCTATTCTAACCCAGGTCTTCACGCATCCACTGAATCTGTATTCAACGGACTGACATGACTGACACCATTCATCAAAACCACTCCTAGGCATCAACGGAACTGCGCAACTTGTCAAAATGATCCGAAAAGGGGATTCACAAGTACTATTAGAATAAAACATATAGATTAAAAGATCACAACATAGACCTGAAATTATATTTTCATGAAATGTAACTTAAGACGGGTCTAATTAAAGAAACATTACGTACATGAGGAGCGGGTCTAGCGGCATGAGGTTTGTTGTCTATCAGATTTTTCAATCTATCCTCCACACTGACGGGAGGGGTAAAGTGACTTGGGGGCTGCAATAACAAGATTTAATCAGATAATTCTAATGTTTATAACAACAGTGATGATGATGATGAAGAATAATGATGATGAAGAATGATGATGAAGAATGATGATGATGATGATGATGATGATGATGATGATGATGATGATTATGACAACGACTATTGCACTAAGAATCACTATATCTAATTTAGGCGCTATAGTATTCATTTTTCATCATTCTATCTTTCAATGTTTAGGGTTATGTATTCATGTAATGTGAAAAGAAATTAAAAGAAGCGGAAGTACAATCTCTACGATGCGATGTCACTATTCAATAAAAGCACCGCTCCTTCACGTCACAAGCCTACCTGTGCATTGTATTGGCCACCCGAGCTCCACGCGCTGACGGCTTGAGGGGGCCTGTCCTGCCCCACACGACCCCCCTCCCAGTTGGCATGTCCCTGCCCCCTAGATGTGGGGAGGAAGGGGTTGCCAGACATGAATTGGCGCCTCTCCTCCACACCGAACTGTGACACGCCATTGCTGCTCAACTCCGTCGTCGACTGAAAGAGTCATAGTGCGGCAGTGTCTTACATCTGTTCAGTATTATCGAGCTACTTGCTCCACGTTATAGTGTGAGGAGATAGTATGATTCTCAAACTGTAACCTACTTAAACAATGTCGTTATCTCGAAGTATGTTTGTCTCGACGCTATCTTTGCCTAATCAGAGAACTCTCTATCGCAAGGCTCCACTTTAAGCTCCAGGTTATATTCGATCTCTTATCTACATTAAAAGGGTTAATTTAAAACAATATAACCAATTATCCCTGAAAATGAATAATGAGTTTCACAAGTTTTGGGAACCAAATTCGTGTCTTTATAGTGAGGTGAGGTGAAATGGGGTTTAACGTCGCGTCCAAGATTATTGCACTTATATAGCGACGTGCATGTACGTGTGTGTGTTTGTGTGGCTGCTTGTACAAGTCCGGACTGATGCCGATTTATAGTGCTAGCTCACTGAGATACCATGCCGCAGTTAAAAATGAATACCCCACTCAGACACAGTATACTGACTCCGAGCCGACCAGTCCATGTTTTAGCCCCTTAATGCCGAGCGCCAGACAGGGTAACAACAAGTACCATCTTTTAACGTCTTTTGGTATGACGCGGCCAGGGGTTCGAACCCCGGACCTTCCGCACTCCGGGCGGACGCTCTACCACTAGACCACGGAGGCGGTCTGTCTTTATAGTGAGAGAACGTACCAATCATGATCCTAAAGCTATACGTTTTGATTGCGGAAACAAACGTATTATATTATTAATAAATATGACCAATAAAATTATACATCTGGCAAAACAGCGAAAAATGATTGAATAAATACGTCAATGATAAATAGCGTATATGCTTATCGTGATATGACGGGGCGATAATTCGTCAATCAGATTGAACACTGACAGACATTTTTGAAAAAAAATTCTAAAACGGTGGTCTGAACCAACACATTGAGATGTTAGAGATTTTACGATCGCTTCAAGTTATTGCGAATTTCGCACTTGACATATTTCAAAGTAGACAAACAGTTTAGTTTATGGATTACGATTTCATGACGATGCTGTGGTAGAGATAGCGGTATAGATCCTTATACCGTTGTCAGTCTTGTTTGTCATCCGTCAACTTATAAGAAATGCCTATGAAACAATTGATATGTTTAGTTCTGAAACTTACAACTATATTGTGAGCTGTGACCGGGCGTGGCTCTCCCTCCTCTCTTCCTATCATCCCCGGGATGCCTGCTGCAGGGACGGGGGCGCCGAACGCTGACCTCCGCTGTGGGGGGAGGGGCTTGTCTGAAATAGTAGTGAAGTTTATCAATCTGAAAATGAAAGTATACTGAACCGCAAAAGAAACGTCACTTCATGAAAATACTTCATGAAAGTTTCCCCATTTAAATATCAGTGCATTTTTTTATGTTTCTCGTTTTTGACATTAACCTGTATTCAAATTTGATGTTAACGGCAAACAAGTGACACAACTATAGATATAATGGGTAGCCAAAACGCAGCTTAACAAACGACCATGGTGCAAAGTCCCGAATGCTTTCCATGAAAATCAAAATTCACTTGCGTTTCCTTGTACCTTTTCTGATAAACGACACCCCAATACGTGGATCCAACATTCTTGTATCGATACTAGCGCCGTGCCAAGACTTACGAAGAATCGGTGAAACGATGCTTAACAACGACTGTATGCTGTTGGTGACCTGGTATCTTGGCTGTAATCTGTGGATGGTTCTCACGTGGACATTAAAAGCATTGAAACCATTCGTGCAGTCTGGTTATATGCAGTCGTCATATAGCCTGGTATTTATATTTCAATAAGAAACTTTAGTTTCATGAAGTGACGTTTCCTTTACGGTTCAGTATTATCAGCACATGATAAAGTCCATACCAGCTGTCCACAAAAAAAACATTTCATAAACTAAATGTCCCTTCTTACCTTTTTTGATGGGTGGGGGTGGCCCTCGACTCTGTCCCCCCTCGACTGTCAGCCTCCCCGGCATGTTGAGCCAGGGGGCGTTGTCAGACTCCTGATTCGGGGAACTCAACCCTCCGTCTCCCTCGGATCGGGTCCCGTACCCACTCTGGAAGAATACACATATATAACTATAATTAAACACCGTATTACTATACAGGGATAATTGCTCGGCTGAGTGTTCCTACAGTGACATCCTAATTTAGGCAAAAATCGGATGAACAAATACGTACAGTAAATCTACGTTCATAACGAACACGCTTATAACGAACTGCGGATATAACGAACTATCTTTTTTGGTCCGGGTAATTTGCTGTATATATACTGTTTACATGCTAATTACGAACTACGGTTATAACGTACTAGAATCAGAGCTCCCTTTGAGTTCGTTATATCCGTAGTATACTGTAATTGATATGTTGTAGAATCCCTTAAATAATATTCTTCATTATTGATGGATCACGCCGATTATATGAGATACAAATATTCAAAAACGTCGCATTTCCAACTTCCAAGAGTGCAGTTCAGTTGCATCTGGAATGAACCATTTTCACCCACAATGACTGTTACTTATGGAAAGAACGTGCATTTTCTATGCGACTGGTTGCGTTCAGGCGTGTGTTTTGGGTAGCCTTTTCCATCACCTTCAATCTTTCTCTTTTCATTGTTTTTAATAGACGTTGTCCATTTTTCCAGTTTCATAAAATCATCCAATCAGTGTGACACCGGCATGTTCTCCAACTGTTATTCACATTGTCAACACACTCAGACCTTGAGGCTTGTTGGCATAGGGGGCACGGGAGCCCCAGTCGTCTAAGGCGCCGCGATTGGCTGTGCAGAGTTGCGTCCCTTGGGCACGCCAGAAACCTATGATTGTGGGTTCGAATCCCGGCTCGCCCCGGTTATGTTTCTAGGTTTGTCAGCACCATACCCGTGTTCGTGGGTTTCACCGAACCGGTAAACGTCTGAGACCTGCATCACTTCGGGCTTTCCTCCAACATTAAGCTGACACGCCGTGATATAACTGGAATACTGTTAAAAGCGGCGTTAAACCAAACTCACTCACTCACTCACTCACTCACTCACTCACTTGTTGGCATGTATTCATGTTTGACACCCTAAATACAAAGGTGACCCTTTAATAATGACACTAAGTATATCTACACATCCCAATGCATCATAACCTTTGAGAAGTTTGTTTCATTGTATTTTTAGTAAAAATGCTTATGATAAAAGTGTTCTCGAATGATGAAAAGGTAGTTTGCCATTTTTTGGCGAATAGCATCAACATAACTTCGAATTCGTTTCTATCTCCCATTACCAGAGTACATATGATAACATATGCCACCATTAGCCATGTATACTCTTGGGGGAAGACGTTCCTGTATTTGTAACTCCAAGGAAACGCATTTTGAAAAGCATAACGTTTTATTTATTTATTTTCCTTACATACATGATTATTGAAACCTGCCACTTTCAAGCTTCAATTATTGAAATGGGTCTATTTGCAACCGTGAACTCACATCATAATTCTTTCTAATGTTACCCAGTAACACAAGCGTCGATCTTAAGTCCCCATTTGCTAAATCTGAAACACAAAAAGATATCTGTAAATGACAAAGTGTGTATGTCCATTGAACAGGGGGGCACTGGTGGTCCAATCATCTAAGGAGCAATTGTTTGCTGAGCAGAGTTGTGTCCCTTGGGGACACCAGAAACCTATGATCGTGAGTTCGAATCCCGGTTCGCCCTGATTATGTTTCTAGTTTTGTCAGCACCATACCCGTGCTCGTGGGTTTCATCAAAGTGGTAAACGTCTAAGACCTGCATTACTTCAGGCTTTCCTCCCACACGCCGTGATAAAAACGAAATACTGTATACAAAGTGGGGATGAAACTAACTCACTAACAACTCGAATCCAAATCTCCGCGGGTTTTAAGCCGCTTTGAACAGTATACAGTTAAAGCATTATTTGTCAGTTTAATTTGCGAAAAAAGTACACAGAAACGCATGAGTTTCTGATTCATTGTCTGGTTGGTTTACAGGTCGCCGTCGAATGGTAGGGGTGCGATTGTCCGATTCCGACTATATTATGACCATGTGTTTATGAATCACTTTCAAATAGTCATGATACCAGGTGTTCGCGAAAAGGTCAGCGTATCCTGCCTCTCCGGTGGCACCCGTCACAAACACATGCAAAGGCAAGTCAATTTATGACCTGAAAAAACACGAGAACATATGGTACAAGTCAAAATTGGGAATTGCATCGGACATCATTTTTGTCACTTATGGGTAAATATGGAAATGTCCTCCACATGTCTGTTACATTTGAAGAACACTTGGATACATGAATACCCAAAATAGACACAGTATATTGACTCCGAGTCGACCTGTATTTGTTTTAGCCCCTAAAAGCCAATCGCCAGGCAGGATAAAAACAAGTACCATTTTTAAACGTCTTTTGGTATTGGGCCGGGGATCGAACACCCGACCTTCCGCTCTCCGGGCAAACGCTCTACCACTAGACCACGGAGACGGTCCTGCATAGGTAACATTACGGCCCTTGCATAATCTCTGTTCTTTAGGTACGTGTACCTATATATCACCCGTGAGGATCCGGGGTAGAATAGGTCTTCCGCAACCCATGCTTGCCGTAAAAGGCGACCATGTTTGTCGTAAGAGGCGACTAACGGCATCGGGTGGTCAGGCTAGCTGACTTGGTTGACGCATGTCATCGTATCCCAATTGCGTGGATCGATGCTCAAGATGTCGATCACTGGATTGTCTGGTCCAGAGTAGATTATTTACAGACCGCCGTCTTATAGCTGGAATATTGCGGCGTTAAACAACAAACAAACAAACAAACCTATCACTACATCTTACCTTCAGCGTCTAGTCCAGCGGTGTCCACCTGCCGGTCAGCGAGAAAGGACAGACACCGGTATAGGTTGACCAACACCTCCGACCTGGTCAGCGAGCGGTCAGTCTCAGCGCCTGGTACTGGTGATCGTTCTGAAGAAAACGTGCAGATGTAAATCACGACGAATACTTCAACAAGATGTCAATAACGTCTTCATCAAAACAAATAAATAAATATGTTAATATAACAGAAAACAAATAAACTGAGGTAATTCAGGTTTAAAACATTATAAAAAGATATCTGAAAATGATAACATTAATGTATCTGCTTCAAATGGCATACCTCTTACCATAGTTATGTGAGTGAGACAATTGAAGACTTTCTCAATTGTGTTCTTAAATTAAACTCAAACTATTTAAAATTCTCCCTTGCAAAGTTTGTGTTCATTGCACAAATAATGGCGAAATGTTGGTTTTAACATTCCCCATTAGAAATATACAGCATTTGAAACAAAAAAAACTCTTTGGGATGTGACCTTTTTTCACCCCAATGCCCTTCAAAACGGCACAAAAGTTACCATGGCTGACATGACGGAGCTTTGTCTTGTACAGTTATTAATTGAGCACATGGTCAATATCATCAAATACCAATTAACTATCAATCTACAAAGTCACAGTTACTTTAGCCTTGAGTATATAAGAAATAGAGCGCTACCTGGCGGTCTTGCGGCACAACTACCCTCAACCACATCCTCCCCACGATGTTGACAAACAACACAGATCTCGAGGTCATAGGTTATACCAACATACCTACCGTAAAGTCGTTTCTATATTTCACCTGCCTAATAACCTATTTGTTAATGAGCCATTTACCTGTAAATGTAATTTATTGCCTAGTGACGATAGTAGTTAGTATATCATCACAGTGGGGTAGACAGCGGAGTAGACAGCGTCTAGACAATGACGTGAACAGGATCATAGCGGCGAAAACACACATTGTTCTGATAACTCACGCTCACTGTCAGATGATAGGGCTTAATTATAAGTCACAGCGTCTCCTTTCTGTATGTATTGTGATCGTTTTCAAAGCAAGATTTACAATTAGTTCACTTTATTCATATTTTTTACGTTTTCATCATATTTATATTTACACACTTTATCCTCTTAAACTCATAGTAGTCTAATGGGTAAAGCGTTCGCTCGTCACATCGAAGACCCGGGTTCGATTCCCGACATTGGTACAATGTGCGAAGCCTATTTCCGCCGTGATGTTGCTGGATAATTGCTAAAAGCGTCGTAAAACCACTCACTAAATCACTCACTTAAAACCATAGTGATTACGGATTTAATAGGTCTCTAGACGGTGTCGATAATTGTTATACAATCAACCAATGTGCGAAAACCGCGCTCTATTATTCTAATATTCATTTAATACACTTTGGTAATATAAATCAAACATTTCCTTAAAAGACCATCACTAAATCAGAAAAGACCTAATAATTTCACGCAAAATCGAATCAATGACTTCGATAATGGATTTATTGCATACACGGCCTGAACAGATGATAATGTTTTCACAATTTATATCCACCGCTTCCAATCAATATATTAACAATAAATAATCTGATCCATCAAAAATAATATCATGCATAAACATGGCACGTGTCGTATAATTTATTATCACAAAATAGCGTTCATACCTCATAAGAAGCCAATATAATCCCCTGCTTCAGCGTGTACATGCACGTGCGTTGGTAGTGACAGCTCATCTGACTCCAAATCCGTTAATACAGAACATGTTTGCCATGGAAACTAATTTTACGAGAAAGGTCCCTTCTCCTGTAGAAAGTATGTACAAAATTCGTATACTTAAACTCAACGTAATCCCTATAAGGGCCATTACCACAACAAAATTCCAAAGTTTATTTGCGTATTTATCGAAGGTGTGCTATTGTGGAGCACTTTATGAGTGATCTCTTCTCTCAGCGCCATTGACGGGGAACTCAAGCACCCAGCTGAACCCGCTTCAACAAAACCTTGCAGGTAAATGGGGCGATTACCCAAACGCCGAGGGCATGCAGGGTACACATTTACCTGTTAATTACCCGTTAGATAGCTTGATGGCACCCAGGTAAAAGAACGCTTCGCGTCTTATGTCACAGGCAGAACGTCACATAAAGCAAACACTATGTAATTACAACCTACTGGAGTTAAATAAAGCTTCCAAAACCATACACCCTACACCTTTTAGATCACGACCTTTTGAAAAAATATGATAAAGAATGTACTGCTTTGAATGATTTATGTATGTGAAAATATTACGTTTTCCTGGCATCATTTGGTGTTTGGGCTATAGAGTGGCATGTTGGTTAAAGCGTTCGCTAGTAACGCAGGAGACGGGGATCGATTTTCAGTAGTGGTGCAGTGTGTGTGTGTGTGTGTGTGTGTGTGTGTGTGTGTGTGTGTGTGTGTGTGTGTGTGTGCGCGAGTTGGGTTTAACGCCGCTTAATGTAGGAGGAAAGCCCGAAGTGATGCAGGTCTCAGACGTTTACCACTTCGGTGAAACCCACGAGCACGGGTATGGTGCTGACAAACCTAGAAACATAATTGGGGCGAACCGGGTTCGAACCCACAATCATAGGTTTCTGGCGTGCCCAAGGGACGCAACTCTGCACACCGAATCGCGGCGTCCCGTGCCCCCGGTGGTGCAGTGACCGAGGCTCATTTATTGTGTTCCCTGTCGTGAAAACTCCCAAATGATATTAGCTTGGATGGTGATGACAATCTCGGTTTGAACTTATGTATGTGTAACGCAACGTTCGTGTACATCAACTGTCCACAATGACGCCTGGCCTTATTGACTAAAACTACAACCTACCTCCGTTTTGGAGTCACAGAAGTTAATCCGAGGCCTTCACAGACCCAGAACAATTGCCAAACATCAAAGGGTTATCATTCCATCTAAGCGAGAACACCATTATTTCCACACACTCTCGTATAATCACGCGTAATCTCAATATGCCTACCCACAATGCACAACGTTTTGTAAGGAGGTCCTTTCTTTGAAGCCTGATCGTACCCCTCCCGTGAAGAACAAAGTATTTCCCTGCCTTGTTGCCAGTCGACAGTACCACTATTTCTGTGCTTACGCGACGCTCTCTACTAAAAGAGGACGAATCGATACCTCCCCAATCAATGCTCATCACCTGCTCAACCTGGAAAATGTCAGACGACACCGGCGGCCATATTTGATTTGGAATTATCTGGGTGAGAGGAAGCGTGCGTCGGGACTATGGTAGTGTTGAAGCTATATCATGAACGGAGAGCAACTACATAAATCACAGAAATCTATATTTCCCACATTGTGTGGATGCGCGCGTGCGTGTGTAAGGAGAGGGGGGGGGGGGGGGGCAATCTGTATACAGTGTATGTGTAAAACTGTTTATGTCAAAGTAGGTACGACTACATACATATATTCATTGTATGATAAAAAGTTTGCATTAAAATACCTGAGGAGACAACATATGTGTAAAAGGTAGACATCAAGCGCTCACACCAAACGCTGCTTAATAATTCCCATCATCTTGCTATGTTGGCGTCATCGGCGCCACCATCTCTGTAGGTCTTTTTTGTAAAATGCGGCTATTAGATCGAACCACCGACCGTCCACTCTCCGGGCAGACGCTCTATCCACCTTAGCACGGATGCGGTCGGAATATGTACAAAAGGGCGCACCACCAAACATACTCAATCACAGTTAGAAACGTTTTTTTAATTCAGCTCTGTCTCCGATGGTATATTACATAATACAGTATAATACAGTATACGTATTGCGTGAGTGAATGAGTATGGCTTTACGCCGCTTTTAGCAATATTCCAGCAATATCACGGCGAGGGACACCAGAAATGGGCTTCACACATTGTACACATGTCGGGAATCGAACCCGGGTCTTCGGCGTGACAAGCGAACGCCTAAACCACTAGGCTACCCTACCGCGCCTAATACAGTATTGTCGTTTGCACAGTACAATACAGGTCTCGGGAAAGTTTAAGTGCAATGCTTCTGAAATGTACACTGTAGACACAGCTTTCGACGATCTATACTGCTGGGTAATATTGCAATGGGCGACCGATGACACTCTGGAAGCATTGGTATGTGGTAGTACTCCCTCCGTGAACCCACAATCGACCTCTCCCAATTCTACGTGACTATATCACAATACATCCCAGAAGACGCTCACACAGTCTCCTACTTACTCATACATTCCCCTACCTCAATAATTATCCAGTTGTTTCTGAATTTCTAGATGTGATTTGTAAATAAAGTTTCACAACAATATCAAAATATGTAAATGGATAGTATCAGTTCATGTTTGTTTGATTGTTGTTTAACTCATCAATATTCCAACTATATGACGGCGGTCTGTATCTCAGCGAGTCTGGACCAAACAAGCCAGTGATTGACATCATGAGCATCCATCCACGAAATGATGCGATGACATGCATCAATCAAGTCAGAGAGCCTGACCACCTGATCCCGTTAGTCGCCTCTTAAGACGAGCAAAGTCGTCATTTACGACAAGCATGGGTTGCTAAAGACCTATTCCACCCCGGATCTTCACGGGTCTGATGTATGTACAGTTCACTTTCATAATTATCTCCTAATCTCCTGAAAAGTCTTGGCTGTACCTGTTCACCTGATTCAAAGAAATCAATCTCAGTTCTTTGAGAACATTGACCTAGATTCCAAGGTCGCCTTTACTCAAGTCATATAGGATTTTTAATTTCACGCAATTTGGCTTTTAATAAATCATGAAATCACAAAATTGAGAACCATTTCGGAAGACCATATCCGTGCTGTTGCTATGGAAACAGTACTTTAATGTTTCCACACACGCCTTGGCAATTCGCGATAGAAGACAAGGATCTTAAAAGCGTTAAGCCAGTCGATTGTTAAGTAATCGATTCACAGTAATTACCTGAAGGGACATTTTGCGTCATGAGAACATATCCCGTCTTGTGGCTGGGGCTGATGCTCTGCATGACCAGTGAGGCTTAGAGAACTGACAATTAATGATCCCAAAACAGATTATTGTCGATATAAGATAAACACGAATTTAGTTGCACGCAATACTTATTATCAATAGATGATG